AGGAAGCTAGATATAAATGGAGAATCTGGGACATGAACCTTTTATATAGGATGCAAAGGTCTCAGTGATTTAATGGCACTATGCCAAACAACTACTTCCCCTAACCCCCATTTTGTTTGTTCCAACTTTATTTATTTGAAAGGCTGAGAAAGAAAGGTTGTCCTTTCTCCAAATGCCCACAAGGCCCAAAGGAGCTCCGTTCTGTTCTTCCTGAGCTATTACCCACTGCCTCCCAGTACATGCATTAACATGCAGCTACACTGGAGACAGGGAAGCTAGGACACAGACTCTTAAACAATGAGCTTGATTCTCACATGAACCCAGCATTCTAATGTGGGATGCAAGAGTCCCAAGCTATCACTTTAACTCTGGCTCCAAAAGCCCCTGCCCCTTCACTAAAATAAACTTTAAAATATGATCACCAATCAACCAAAAAAGCGTCATTAAAGAATTCACCCAGAAAGTTCATTTCCATGTAGCCTCTTAAACAACTAACTTTATTCTCTTTTATTCTTTTGAAATGAAAAAGTTTGACCCACTTTGCAATTACTCTTGTGTTCCTATAAACTTAAATTATGCAAAATGTTAGTGTGCTAGACCTGGCACGTAATCTCTAGTATTTCTCTTGGTTAAAACGAATCTCCCTTTTCCTGCCACTCACATAAACCATTGATTATCTGAAATCGCCAAGTGTACTTTGCACAGTTGGGTAATTGAAGCCAACTCTTTAAATATGTAATGAAGCCACATACTTCATATTCCCTCAGCACTGAGAGGGACTCTTATGCAAAACACATATTTTATTTATTTATTTATTTTTTGCTGATTATATTCTGCTGTTGGGAAGAACTTTGCTCATGGCCCTGATGAACTTCATACAGTATTTATGGCATCCCCAGAAGGCAAAGGCGGAATCACAAAATTCACTCTCTCCACCTGTCTGCTGCTGTTTGTGTAATGGAAGGTGACAAGTGGTGAATGTCAGAAGGCACTACTGGGCGGTCGGTCTCTCTCTCTCTCTCTTTCTCTGTTTTCTGGAGTTCTGGGGAAGGGACATGGCTTGAGTCTGATGTCTCTAACTAAGGTAGTGCCAGATGAATGGCTTTGAACAGCTTGCTTAGCATGCTGGAATTTAAATTCTTGAGACCCCGTGCTGGAAAAGGTTGCATTCAGTTCATAATCTGTGAGGTTTGGAACAGCTTAGCCTGTAAACATCAGGGAACGTTTCTGGATTTTTCTCCACTTAACCAGCCATGGAAAATAGTTCACGGAGTTTCCCTCTCTCGCGGATTGACACACAGCTCCCCGCATGCCTCTGCAAAGGGACCAGCCTTGCTCAGAAGCTCATTCAGTGGATTGTGTTTCTGAGAAATTGATTAGGTTTAATAATAGAGAGTGGCAGGGACTGCTGTTTTACTTAAACAGGACAGCAGACGCAAAAACTCACTCTAATGGCACTGCCATCAGCCCATGACAGCTTTTAAGGGAGTTCACAGGACCAAGGCATACGTCATGGTTAAAAGGGCTGATGGCTAAATTTTTCATGAAGCTGTCATCACCCATTTCTGTGTACTCTTTGCTCTTCTAGGTTTGGGGGATTGGCATGTTATTTTTCCTGTGTGTCTTTTTAAAATTTTTTATACTTAACTATGAAACAGTACGTATGACATCATATGGATCAGTGCAACTCTGTAAGCATGTAATTCAGCAGTGTTGAGTGCATTCACAGTATCACTCACCCCTCACTACTGTCATCTTGCAAAGCAAAAATTCCAGGCCCTTCCGTAACGCTGTATTGTTCTGATCTCCCTCACCCCTGGAAACCACCATCTTCCTATCTGCCAAATTAGTAAGTTCCAGAACAGCTGTTTGACCAAAAATAAGTGTCTGCCTTTCAAAGGTGGTTCTTCAGTTGAAGGGGAACGTGAGCTTTCTGACAGCAGAGTGAACTGTGTTGTCTGGGTTTGGAGGAGATCTTTGAAGGAAAGATGGGTCTCTTTATTAAGAGGCTGAGCTTCCTGGTGCAAGGGTTTAAGAGTGGATCGCTGTGACTCGACTGTTGTGATAACAGACTTATTGCTGGCTAGATGATCAGGTGGGAGGGAGGAGCAGCCCTGTTGTTGCTGTGTGTCTGGTGGAGGCTGGGTACTTTAGCTCTATCTAGTCACCCTGTTCTGAGTCTGCAGGTATAGCTGTAGAATGGAGTGAGTTGGGTGTCTATTCAGTGGTAACACATGTTGCTTCTACTCACATTCATTAGCCAAGGCAAAGAGACATGGCAGTGCCCAGCTTTTAAGGAAGATAGGAGAGATCCATCTGCCCATAGTTCTGGAGAGTGCGGTACTCAGAATAATGAATGGACCCTGGCCACTGACCCTGCAGCTGGCAGGTTAGAGTAATGGCAGGTGCTCCTGGGGACTCAGGATGAGTGTGCCTTATTTGAATAAAGGACATAGAACAAGCTAAGCCTATAAAAAGCGTGGGATTGATGTAGAGGATTTTTTTTATAATAAGAGACAGTGTTTTCCCTAAATTTTTTTTGAGCTTTTATTCCTCCATCTGTAAAAATGATGACCTGGGTTCCTTCTAGATGACTCTTTGTATTTAAAATTTTAAGTTCATAATGTGTAGTTCCCAGAGCTTGCTACCAGAAGTTTAAGATCCTTCCTCCCATTATTCAGGCATTTTATCAAAAAGGCAGATACTTCCTTACTCTGTGAGTTAGCGGGTGACAGTTGGGGTGAAGGGCTCCAACTGAGGCAGAGATGAGAGAGGTGTATCTTGGGGAAGACCATTGAGTTGATGAGCCAAAATTTGTGCAAAAGACCTAGCCCCTCCTTAGTGGCCCTTTCCAGCACTTCTGCAATAGCCACATAGCATCTGGATGTTGCCATGAAAATCAGTGGAAACACCAGCTCTCCCCTAGAGCCTAAGCCCTAGGTTAGGCACTTAGCTGTGCCTAGAAAGCAGAACACATGTTTTGAGTCAGTCATCTGGGACATAACTCTTTCACGCTGGCTGTGTTGGCTCCAAATATGTGTGCTGCCAGGCACTTGAGAGGAAAAAGAAAGGACACAAAAGGGGTGATTGCCCTTGAAACTTGGCTTAATCTGGTAGGGACTGCCTTCAATGAATGATGGAATAGGTAGTACAATGTTTTTAGTGTAAGAATAGAACATGTGTGCTTAAATTTGAAGGTAATAGATCATGGAAGAATTTTATGAGAAAACTTTCTATTACATATTCTGAAAAGTATGTGTTTTTATGCTATTTGATGAACTGAGGACACTTATTTCACACACCTGTGTAACCAGTACCCAGTCGAGAAACAGAAAAACTTCTTTATGTGCCTCTGCAATTGCTACACCTCCCCTCGTTTCCCACCAAGAGCTGCTCTCTGGAACTCCAATAGTGGACATTGGCTTTGCCTGTCTGCACTTTGCATAGTGTCCTCTGGGGCATACTCTTTCGTGCCCGGCTGTATGCCATGTGTGCAAATGAATGTATATCGTAGTGTGTGGCTATATGCACTTCCTTCTTGTTGCTGGGTGGGATTTTCCTGTGTGATTTTCTCACATGCTCATGCTTTTAATGTCAGCCGGCATCTGGAGAGTTCCCAGAATGAGGCCCCCTGCACATTCTGGTGCAGCTTTTTAGGTTGAAGCTCATACACACAGGTGCTTCTTGCGCCCTCCCCTTCCCCAAGTTTCTCGACCTACGAGTGTTTACCTGTGGCTTCCAATGTCTTTTTCTGCTCTCCTCCCACTCAGTCAGAGTGACTCCTTTGATTTTGTCTGGGGATACTTCTGCTGTGCGTTAGGGTAAGCCTCATTTATTAGAATATAATTTATCCACAGGAAGACACTTTAAAAAATAAGAATTGCCTCTGTAATTTAGGATTATCAATTGTGAGGTGGCTTTATCGAATGCGAGTGGCTTTGTTAGTAGACAATACTTTCAATATTTGATGCTGAAGTTCATTAACATTCAGAAGTAATACAGATAGCCACAGTAGTCCTTTGGCTTAAATTTCACTTGCCTACCAGCATAGGGTCATACGCTGGTTGAGTTCTCGTAATAGAATTTGCAAGCTATTACTCCAGTGAGGTAGAAAATGGAGAGCATGCATCGAAGCAATAAAAGAAAAAAAAATGATGAGCTTTTTTTTGCATTTGAAAAATAGTGCTAGCAGCTGCTTTACTACCCCACTGTCATGCAGACTTTATTTCGGTGGGCTGACTTCTGAGCATTTATTAAATCTCTCTGAGTCTCGGGCAGTACCTAGAAAAGATCAGGCCCCCTTACTTACAAATGCTCACTGATTGAGTCCCTGTGGAATCATCAGTAGGAAGTTACTATATGCTCCAACTTTTGCCTTTCAGGATACCCTTGAATCGTACCAATGCCACTTGGAGATTGCCTGTCTCTTGGAGAGTGTCCCCGGACACTGTCCAAACACTCACCTTGCACAGCCATTCTTAGCAATATAGGGTGCTGCTCGGATGGCTGCTTTGCTGTCTTAGAAGTCTGTGTTGCTTCTGGCTGCCTGGATCCCCTTTCCCGGCTGTAGTTTTATTATTGCTACTTAACACCTGACTCGCACTTCTGGATTGGACTTGGTGGCAGTTAACTTGGGACAGGGCTGTTAACAGCTTCCTTGAGCAGTAATGTCCCTTGGTCTCACTTAGAGCACTGGCCTTTGCTGCACAGGAACCCTGTTGAGTTGTGTGCCAAGTGCAGAATGGCCTTCTGAAGGGCACTGGGTACACAGAGGTGGTGGTTTCATTCAGGAAGACCCTTGAATGATGGTGGAGAGCAAAGGGGAATAGGGGAAGGACGGTCTGGACTGACTAACTTTGTGGTTGGGCTCCCTGGAGGTCAGCTCTGGGGTATCCAGACCTGTTACTGGCCTCCCCAGCATGGCTTCCCTGGAATTACACTGGCTTGTTCCTGTTAGCCCAAGTTGTGACTCTTTATTCTTGTGCCCCATCCCTCTGCAGACCACCAGCCAAACGGAGCTTGAGAACTGGATCACAGCCATCCACTCGGCCTGTGCAGCTGCTGTGGCCAGGCACCACCACAAAGAAGACACGCTCCGACTGCTGAAGTCAGAAATCAAAAAACTGGAGCAGAAGATCGACATGGATGAGAAGATGAAGAAAATGGGTGAAATGCAGCTGTCTTCTGTCACTGACTCCAAGAAGAAGAAAACTATATTAGATCAGGTAATGGCACTTCTGCAGGTGCAGCCTGGGTAGAATCGTTAGGCCTTGACAAATTTTGGTGCTGCCTTAGAATCCGGAAACATCACTGGCCGTCTCCCTGTCAGCCTGTCATCTGGGTTGCTGAGTTCTTTATTGGGACTGTCAGTTTCCTCCACCCTTTGTTCATAGTTGATTATTAGGAGATAAAAGGAACAATATTACATTGAACGAAAGACAGGAATCTAATAGAGGTGCCTTCCTCTTCCTGCCAGTGGTGCACTATTCTAGGAGATCTGTGTAATTAGAAAGTCTACAGTTTCATTCCCTATGTTATCAGGTTGACTGGAGGTCAGCTATGGTGGACATTTATTTCTTGCTCTTCAGTAAACTGAGCATTCTTTATTTAGAAAAAGTGAAGTGTGTCTTAAAGAGTGTACACGGTCATCCCTTGCTGCCCATGGCCGTGGCTTCCAAGACCTCCTGTGAACATAAAACTCTGCAGATATTCTATTCAAGTTCCTTATATAAATGTCATAGTATTGGCATAGAACATACACATTATCATCATGTTTATTTTAAGTCATCTCTGGGTTATTCATGGTACCTAATACAATATAAATGCTATGTAAATAGTTGCTATACTCTGTTGTTTGAAGGATAATGACAACGAAAGAAATCTGTACATGTTCATTACAGCTGTATTTCTCTCCTTCCCCACTCCGCCCCCCTACCCCCCACCCCCGCACCAGGTATCTTTATTCCTGAGTTTGTGGCTTCAACAGATACAGTACCTTTTGAAGTATGGGAGACCAACTGCATTAAACTGCTCTAAGTGAGCAGAGGTATATTTCACATTAAAAAAGGAAGGATCTAGTCAAATGACCAGAATGCGTTTTGCTCTATTCAGTTCTTTTAATGCTTGGAAACTTGGGAAAATGGTAATGTAGTTGACTAAAAATATGTAAATAACTTAACAGTTGATTGACTGGGCCAGTGTTTGGGCCTTCACATTTCTCTCTTTTCCAATATAACCTGGCATATTTTATATTCAGAGATTTATTGTTACTTTTTTATTTGACTGGAAAAATAGGAGAGACAGGGAGAGAGACAGCTTAATGTTCCATATGCGAATCCACTCTTCAGTTTGCTGCATGGCTGGTTCTGGGATGTATTGGGTGATACTGAAGCCGGCAGCCTGGGCTTGCATCCAGGCCACTTGACATGGCCGGCAGGGGTGCAAGTATCAGCGCTGTCACCTGCTGCCTTCCTAGGTGCATTAACAGAGAACTGGATGCAAAGTGGAGCATCCCAGGATTAGACCTGCACTCCACTGTGGGATGCTGATGTCCTAAGCGGTGGCTGAGCCCACTGTACCGCATTGACAGATCTGCCATTTTTCAAAAATTGAGATAAAACCTACCTAAATTGAAGTGAACTGTGCAGTGGCTCTTCATACGTCCGCCTTTTCATGTGCAGCAGCTGCCTCTTTCTAGTGCCCAGTTTTGCCGATCCTACAAGGAAGTCCTATGTCTGATGAACATTTATTCTACTTGTCCCCTGACATTGAATCTTTACAGGTTTGCCTGCTTTTTATGTTTTATGAGGCCAGAATATCGTTACGTGTGACCCACGCCTGGCTTCTGTCATATAACCCAGTGTCTGGGAGCTTGATTCGTGCTGTAGCATACATCAGTTCTTCGTTCTTATGTATTTGTTACTGACTATTATCCCATTATATACAGCTACCTCTTGTGTGTCTGCTCACCTGGGAATGGATATTTGAGCCATTTGCACCATTTGATGCACTGCCCAGAGCATGTGTGTGCACTGATGCAATATTTCAAGTTATAATAAACGAGTTGATGACAGCCATTAATCCTTTCCTGTATCCTCATCAGCATCCCTGAGAGTTCTCTATATGCTAGATCTTGTAGTTACTTTTGCATTTTCTTATTGAACAGCCTATCAGTTCTATGAGGTAGGTGTTCATTGTAGTTTTATAAAAATGAGAAGAGTGTCATAGACCCTACAGTGGGAGCTGTGCACTCCGGTGTCTGGGTCTCCAGCATGTGGAGTTGTCCTTTTCTGCTCCAAACTACCCACCTCTTTCCCAGATTTTGCTGCTGTCTTAATTGATCTCATTTTTCTTCTTTGCTTGATCTTACTCTGAAAAGGCCATGTCTTGGTAAGCCGTGTGGATTGAGCCACAGTGTAGCATACATCAGTTTAGAAGGCCAATATTTTCACTTCTGTCTTGGATTTGTGGCCCAGAGCTTGGAGCAGATGCATCTGTACACACAAAATATATATTATAGGAGCGCACCAGGTGATGGATACAAAACATGGATTTTGATCGCGCTGAATTTATGGCTCTAGATTTTTGTAGACAAGCATATGTATCTAAGAAACTAAGGGGACTCGTCGTTTACCCCTTAGGATTATAACTGATACATTTGTAACACAAATTTGACAAGAGTAAGTTGTTAACACTTGTTTTCCTGTTTTCTTCACCATTTCTTTTTCCATGTTGTTCCTTTCATAGATCTTTGTTTGGGAGCAAAATCTCGAGCAATTCCAAATGGACCTATTTCGTTTCCGCTGTTATTTAGCGAGCCTTCAGGGTGGAGAGCTGCCAAACCCCAAAAGGCTGCTCGCATTCGCAAGCCGACCAACCAAAGTGGCCATGGGTCGCCTTGGAATCTTTTCTGTATCTTCTTTTCATGCCCTGGTGAGTAGAAAATGAATTAACTTTTAAAAAAATACTCATTTTGATGCTCATTCCAGCACAGTACTTCACAGAAGTCTCAGAGTGTTTTCCTGTTTGATTACTGTGTCTGAATTTCTAGAATAGTCTTCCTTTTTAAGTGGGTATAGATTTTCCCTTTGAACCTAAGCTGCTCTGAATGAGGACTAAACTGTTGTGCAGAGAAAGTATCTTCAGAGATGTTCACATGGGTGTATGTTAATCGTTCTTGTTGTCTTTAGGCAATGCTGTGTTTTGAACCCAAATATATATTTTTAAATTTTAATTTTAGAATGATGAGTGGCGGTCTCTGTCTCAGACAGAAATGCCTCCTCATTTTCTCTCATACATGCAGTTGTATTACATACAGATCTCCTTGGGCATTCCCCTCGCCCTTGTGACTGTTGTTTATCGTTTAATGACTGGCATAAATATCTGATGTGTTAGGAAGGCAGGGAAATCCCCCAATTGGTCATTGAACATGGGGGTGTATGTCGCTGGAGGAAGAGGAGTCTCTTCTGACCTCACGTGGCACATTGTGTAGTTGTGTTGTGTGAATACAATCTGTAATTTCATGTACTTGCTAAATTGCAAACAGCTTCACTTGCTTTTGGCTCCTTTCTTCTCAAAAATTGCAGCGTGAATAACATGGTTTGAGCCTCTCCAAGTCTCCGCCCACTGAAAACGCACTGCACCTTAGCACATTGGCTGTGGAGTTAAATGTTAAGTCTCAGGTTCCAGAAACAGCTTTGGAAAAACCTTAGCTGTGCTGCTCTTGTCTTGCCATGTCAGCTGTACCCTTCAATTGAATTCAGAACTGTAATTCAGGCCGAGGCGTTTGTATTCTTTATAAATAGATTAGCGTCATCATTCAGATAATTAGGGGTAGATTTACATTTTTAAAGAAGTCTTAAACCAATTTCTGGAGTTATTAAAACTGGCATCCCAATTTGTTCTGCTAATTACAGCTCCACTCTTGGTCTCCCTGCCTATCACCTCTCTATGCAAGCTATTAAGTCCTGGGTGTGTGTGTGTGTGTGTGTGTGTGTGTGTGTGTGTGTGTGTGTGTGTGTGTGTGTGTGTGTGTGTGTTTAGCTGTACTGGGGCAAAGTGCTGTGATGAGCAGATCTTTGTATATAGTTTGCAGCTTGTGGCTCTATCTGGGTCTGTTTTTTTGAGACATGAACACCCATTTTTAACTTAGTTGCATTTTAGCTTGCATAAAATAATTAGGAAGTTTTAGGCCTCCTTGACCATATGTCTGAAATGAAGGCAACATTACAATTAAGGGGTTGCCTGATAATCCATGAGGACCCCAGCACTGTCAGTTCTGAGCATCTGAATTGCTCCCTCCTTCCTCCATGACTTGATATCTTTTGGAGAAAATACGCTTGCTATCTACTTAAAATGTGAATGCTCAATTTTTGTCAAACTTGTTTGCGCTGACCTGCGCAGTAAGACAAGCTCTGTTTCCCATTGTTGATCTTCAGGCCTTGTGGTCAGCCTTCCCCCTGTCTGTGCTCTGTGTGCACCTGTCTTGCGGTAGGCAGCCCACTGAAATCTTGGCAGCAGATGAAGGGGATGGGAGAGACCCAAGCTCTTTGGGGGGCCTTTTTGTTCAGTGGTTTTAAAGAAAGGATTTAATTCCTTGTGTTCAACTCTCTGAGGCTTCATGCATCTTTTTTGCTATCTGCTTTAGCAATGCACATCTGGGAGTTTCTAGGGGCCTTGCATGCTCACCTTTTCCAAGGAGGGCATCATTTGGGACAGATAAGTCAGACATTCCTGCTTGGTGTCTCTTGCCTCTGTGCTGCTGCAGTTCCTGTGGAAAGAATTTTACAGGCTGATTTATTGGGCATTTATTTTTCTTCTTCCCTCTTTGCCATGTGACCCGAGGGGTTCCTTCTCCCCCCATGCCCCAACCCTATTACCTTTGGGTTGAAAAATTCTTCAATTCTGTCTTTGTCTAGGCGTTTTTTTCCCTCTTGTAAGTGGGGGAGCCGGGGTCTGGGAGGAGAAGGAGGTGTGAGGGGAAACGGACGGGGCTTGCTGGTGGAGGCCAGGGGAGCCACTCTGAAGTGCCATTCACTGGGAGAGCCTCCTTCATGCTGAGTGATTTGCAGTAATTAAGGAAGGGCCAGCTGCCCTCTGAGAGAGAGGGTTGCCCTCGTCCTTGTCTGCTGAGACAAGTGCCCTGATAGAGGAGTCAGGTTCCAGCCACAAAGGCAGCCATTGTCTCAGGGAGGATCATTGAGCAACCCTTGTCCACAAGTTCTTCCAGCTTCTGCTCTTGTTCTCCCATGTTCCTTTGCTCGTAGTGAGTGTAGAGGGTACTTGTGTAGTTTGCAAGGCCCCAAACTGTTGAGAATAGTTATAAAGGAACCTTAAATAAAGTGTTTGCTAAACACTAATTACTCCCTGTTCAGCCGGTCGCTATGATTGTTAGTCTCCAGATCTGTTTTTTTCTTCCCTCTTAAAATTGTAAGCTAAAGAATTTCTTTTGCATTGTTGTGACTGTGTCATAGAGGAGCACTGTTTTACTGTTTTGGTTTTTTTCTTTCATATATATATATGACATATATATTAAGGTTCATTTATTTGTATTAGAAAGTCAGATATACAGAGAGGAGGAGAGACAGAGAGGAAGATCTTCTACCTGTTCATTCACTCCCCAAGCGGCCACACTGGCTGGAGCTGCACCAATCCAAAGCCAGGAGCCTGGAGTTTCTTCTGGGTCTGCCACATGGGTGCAGGATCCTAACTCCTTGGGCCGTCCTTGACTGCTTTCCCAGGCTACAAGCAGGGAACTGGATGGGAAGCGGGTCCGCTGGGATTAGAACTGGCATCCATATGGGATCCCGGCATGTGCAAAACAAAGACTTTAGCCATTAGGCTACCAAGCCAGGCCCTCTTTTTTTGTTTATGCTTGTGCTTATTCAATCAGTGAATACATGTGCATGCCAGGCTCTCGTATGTGTGAGTGTTGGTTACAGTCTTTGTGATTAGGATTATAGCATTGAGTGAGACAGAGTCTGTTCTTGTCAACCTTTCATTTTGGTGAAAGAGGTGGAAAAGGAGAAGCAGGCAAGCATGGGCACTGGACACAGCAGTGGAGCCTCCACTTAGGCTTGTGTGTCTCATCAGCATGCCATCAGTTCAAGTCCCAGCTGCATTCCCACTTCCAGCTTCCTCTGCTGCACAGCACGGAGGTCAGCAGGTCAGCTGGAGGACTTGAATCCCTGACACCCATGTGAGAGACCTGGGCAGAATTCCAGACTCCTGACTTCTGACTGGCCCAGTCTTAGCTGCTACAGGCACCAAGGGAGTGATCCAAACAGTGGGAGCTCTCTCTTTGTCCCTCTACCTTTTGAATAAAATGAATATAAAAAATGTTTCTTAAGAAAGGAGTAAGAAGTTGAATCAGCTAAGTATAGTGAGCGATGGGTGCTATCAAGGAAGTAACTGGGTTGTGCCCATCTGAACACATGCCATTGGTCTTCCCTATCCTTGGAGGACTGGTTCCAGTGCCCCTTGCTGGTACCAACGTCTTTACCAATAGCAGTGCATATCTCCTGTTTACTTTAAATCATTTCAATAGCCTGTGTAATGCCTAATGTAAAGTAAATGCTGCCTAATTCATTGTTTTACTGACTTGTTGAAGGAATAATGACAAGAAAAAGAAAGTTTGTGTGCACTCAGTATAGACTCATGTTTTTTCGCGAGTGTGTTGAATCTCGGCTCTTTGAGGAAGCAGACCTGTGGATTCAGAGTGCGGCTGCACCTGGCTGCCTATATGTGTATCCATTGAGAATGGATTTACTTATTTAGAATCATGAAACAAAAGGAACCTTTTTTTTTAAACACGATTTTAACATTTCACACCATTTATTCAGAGTTGATGAAGTCATGTGATCATGTGTGTTAGCACATGATAATTTATTCCTTTTATAACCTTTATTTACTTCTAACTTCAAAAGTAATGGAAATAGAGAAAGGTCCTTTATGTTTAATACTGACTTTTGTTTTATGATGTTTGTTCTCTATAATACCCCAAGTATATACCCATAGATTAAGATCTTTCTTATAAAAATCCCTGCCAGTATCTTGAATACGAAATTGTTCTGCATCCTGAGCCGAGTTTTCACATGCTAAGCTGGGAAAACCAAGGCCTCTCAGCTCCCTCATCTTCCTGTTTCCTTTTGGGACCAAGACCCTTCCCCCTACCACCCTTGCTGAGCAGATGTTTTGATTCCTGTTTTCAATGTACACGGAGGTCCCTGCCCATCCACTCACCCTGCTGTTTACATTGTCAACACTGAAGATCCAGAGAGTCAAGCATCCAGGCGAGCACACCAACTCCAGGGGAGGCCCCTTGGCATTGCTCAACCACGGTTCACCCCTTCCATGGCTGCCAGTTGGCGTCTGTCACTTTGGGAGTTGCCCATGTGGGAATCTATGACAAGCAGGTTCCAAGAAGTTCACCTCCAGAAACAGTGAGTGGGGAAGTTCCATTTCAGGTCTGACCGGGGGAACCTCCTGCCACTCCCGGTTGTGACAAGAGAGGCTGTGGGTGGCCTCTTGAGATCCTCCTGGCACAAGCTGCTGGGACTGGAGGGTAAAGTGCCAGGCTCAGTATTTCGCCTTAGATGGGCTTCAGGGAGTCCTTCGAGAAGACTGCGAGCATAACCTCCACAGTGGCAGACTTCAGTTTGGGAGATTCCCTCCTGAAACATTTGGATAACTGATATTTTTAAAAATCTCAACAAAATTGAACTTTTAAAGAAAAAATCCAAATTTTATTTCCCAGTCACTTACGCACAGGGCTTATAGGATGTGGAAATCTGGGAGGTGGTGTCACATCCTGAGGGATATAGTGCTTCCTGCTTCTTTGCCGTGCTGTTCCTCCAAGTGCTTCTCTCTGGACATCTAGGCCACGATGTGTACCTGTTGTCATCAGCCAAAGGAGAGCTGACTCTCACGGAAAGCCCCTCCTCGCATGACTAATTCCAGGATTCCAAGATGTTGCCTTGTGGCTTTCCTCCTGACATCCCATTACCCAGAACTTAGTCACAGATCCGTGCCCGCTTTGATGACAGGCTGCAGGCTCAGCTGCATGTGGGGTTTTCTGACTGAGCCTGAAGAGATGGTGGACATTGGGTGGACAACTATCACTTCTTATTATGGAAAAGAATTTTGTGTACTCTAACATGCCTGAGTCAGGATTAGTAGTTTTAGATTTAATATGGAGTGCTGGGAACCAAAATCTATGCTGTTGCTAATGCGTGGAACCGTTTTTCATGAGAATGCATTCTTGGAAGTTCTCAGGGGAGGTTTGGCTTATTGAACTTGATGCTGTAGTTGAAGGCTGTGACCCAAATAGCGCCTAATTCTCAGAATCATGACCTGTATATTTTCTCATTATTCTCTGTGTTTTTACCGATGATTTCACATGGTGATTAAATTTGCCAGCCTTTTGCTTCCAGTTTTACTCTAAGAGGGTCCTTGGTGTCCTCACGTATAAGTCATGAGTTACATGCTTTGGGCGGTGGGATCAATGGTGCCTTATGTGACAGAGGAGGCACTTAGTGAGGACCCCAAGGAACAGGTGGATGTTCTCAACACACCTCTTATGTCGCTGCTTTGCCATCATCAGGTGGCAGCACGCACCGGCGAGACCGGAGTGAGACGACGTACTCAGGCCATGTCCAGATCTGCAAGCAAGCGAAGAAGCAGGTTTTCTTCTCTCTGGGGTCTGGACACTACCTCCAAGAAGAAGCAGGGACGCCCAAGCATCAATCAGGTAGATTCCAGAGTAGGTGGCAAAGGAAGCCTGCAAGGATGGTGTGTGTCTGTGGTGTGGTGTGTTCCTTTATTGACACTGTTCCTCAAAAGAAGCCAGTTGACACAAAGAAGTCAGTTGCTATAGACATAACCATAACCATAACCCTGAACTCTACTATTAGTCTGTCACCAAACTCCCATTTCCCACCTGCCTCCTTTCTAAACCTTGGTTAATTACAGACCTCTTGAAAGTGCACAATTCATCCTAAGTCGACAGCAAAAAGCAGGGCTCAGGATGAAGCCAAGGGGCACCTGAGCCCAGAGTTGCTTTAAGTTGCTCATGGCACTATAACAAAGGCATCCTCCAGAGAAATCTGATTGTGTCTCTGCCCTTGACTTTTGGGGGTTGACATCAAATAAGACAGGTCCTTTTGGGGCTATGGAGCTAGGAATCTGAAAGCACCCACTCCCAGTCATGGGCCCTTGTGTTCAGGTGCATGACTGGAAGGGGAACCCAGCACATCATGAAGCAGTTTGGTGGGGGTGGGCCCGATCTTGCCCATTCACCTGACACCTCTACTGACCAAAGCTACTCTCCTGTTTTGTTACTGTCGAGATATTCACTCTCCATCGTTAGTGTCGCCCTTCTGCTTGGGCTGGGAGAAATGAGAACTACTTGTTTAGATTTCTGAGACAAATGGACCATGAGTATTTATAGTCCTTTTGGAAGAAAAAAAAATGTCCTATTCATAAGCCATGGTAGCTGGAAGGTCAGGCACTGAGAGAGCATTAAAGAGGTCCTGAGTGAGACTACCCGTTCACACTGTGAGCCTATTCATGCTGTGCCGTAAGCTAAGTGAGAAGCTATCGATCGATCCATTTGACAGAAGGATCTGTTCTCATTTGCTCTGACAATCCAGCCATTAGTTTACTTTTAGAGATGGAGTTTTAAAGAGAGGTTATTACTGAAAGTTGATGTACCCAGCCTGTTTGCTGCCCAACATGCTCAAGATTTTTTAAGTGGCCTTCTCTATCCTCAGTGAAACCTGGCAGAGGCCTGAGAACCAAATGATAAGAGAGCATGAGACTGAGCAGTTGTGTGGCTCGTTCCCATCTCTGGGGAGAGCAGGACTTGCAGGCAGCTGCCGTGGGTCTTACCAAAGGAGGATCCTTTGGGGAGAGAGCCGGAGTTTCATCAGCTAAGTTACGAAAAGACCTTGAGGTTCTCCGTTAAATCTGCTGGAGAAAAGTAACAACCAGCATTGCTCTCCATCTGGACGGCAGTGGTGGTGTTTTTCTGCATCTCTGTCATTAGGGGTGACTCAGCCCCCTGTTCTAAAAACAGATCAGAACTTCACAGTTTGGAATTGTGCTCTGGTAAACCCCTCGTCAGAGTCCTTCTGCTTCATTTGTACCGGGTTGTGCAATACAGACCGTTGCTACTGAATTATGTGGCTGAATTTAAATCAATTTGAGAAAATGTCTCAACTTTTTATTTTTTAATTAAAAGAATGCATTGGCCTCTAAGCTATTCTGACAATTCTTTCTTCAAACAAAGGTTTTGAAAAATGTCTTGTTTAGCCATATGCATTGTCTAAGTAGTTCACTCATTAAGTTTATTCAGCTCATTAAATTTATTTGAAATGGACAAAAAGTATGTTTCTGTTCATTTTACTTCATTTACAAGAGTTTTTCTTTATTTTGTACATTATCCTGATGCTGTATGTCATAAATTTTCTCATGTTTATGTATTTGTATATTAATTACCTAGTGGCATTGTTACCCTACTGTAATTTTTCTTATATCTTTTAAGTTAGCAAAACTTATTGAATTTCATTAAAGAGGTAAAATCTTATTTTTAAGTTAAAAAATTTCTGCCATGTTGCAATTAAAATTTATGTATATACTATATATTACATATATACATATATTTTTTCAAATTCTATGCCAGGAAGTAATACAAAGCAAACTGATGATGATGTGTAGATAGCTCTTCAGATCTAGGAGGCTGTGGCAGAAATTGTTATCCTTCATTGTGGATGTATCTAGTGCATTGCTTGTGCAGGGTGCTCATGTTTAATTTTACATGAATTATCCAGAATTAAAAGCGAACTTTTGTCTGCTTGTTTCTGAGTTGACAGAGATATGGGAAGTCACGTAGATCCTGGGGTGTTTTCGTGGTCTGCTTCCGTGAATTAGTTGGCCTGCTTTGGTATTCAATGTAGGCGTATCTGAAAATGTCTGTGCTGTTTCCTAAGGCCATGCCCGTTTTCCATTCCCCTTCCTATGTTTCATTTGCTCTGTTGCCCAGATTTCTTTTGAAGATGATACTTTTGTATTTGCAGGTGTTTGGAGAGGGAACTGACGCTGTAAAGAAATCTTTAGAGGGAATATTTGATGACACTGTTCCAGATGGCAAGGTAAAAATAAACATGTGTTCCCATTCTAAAAGTACCACAATGCTTCAAAATATGTACAATTCATTGGTTTCTTGGGATACTCAAGTTAAGTGGACACAGTAGGGAAAAGCTGAATCTACCAATGTTTAAAAATTAAGTAACTGATGAAGAAGTAATAGCCCTTTTATAGTTCAAGCTTGGTGATAGTAAGAACGTTCTCTTGATGGTATAACATTTCCCATGCTTGATGCTTGATGTGTAAGATTCCGACTGGAGTAAAATATTAGGATTCTGTGGAGCAACGACATGTCCTTGTTATGTACAGTTTTTGTTTCTGAGAGGTGTCTTCTTCTTGCCCTCCTTCTCTGTCCCCATGTGCTGTTTTGCTATTGCCAATTTCAGATAAATGTTCTGGTGGTATGTTTTTAAATATATTTTTCTTGATTCCCATGTCAAATATTCAATTACAGATTCACAGACTTGGTTCAACCTCATGCTTGGATTTAACAGAGCTTTCAAACTTCTCTGCTCCAGGGTTTATAACAATACTGGCTTTTCTTTTTGTCATGGCCAGTCTTTAATAAGACCCTGCTTGTGATACCAACAGCCTGTTAGCTGTGAGTGCACTGATGCTGATCATCTGATCTCGATGTGATTCTGCAGTCCTCAGAGTCACTGGTTTAGAATTCAGCCTTCATGACCTTACAACCCCAAAGGGTTCCTCCAACAACGGCTCAGTCTCCAGTGGTAGCCTGGGCTGAGCCTCAGAAACCAGAGTGCAGTGCAAAATTCCACCTGCTGGAAGAGAGCAGGGATGAGTGGGTATGGCTAGGCCTTTTCTCTGTTGCGTGCGCAGACAACCCATGAATTATGTCATTCTGGATACAAGGACAGCTGATGCTGGATGTGCCCAACCATAGCACTATCTTTGAGCTTCTGTCTGATGAAAGTAAATTCATGTGTCTATGTGTCGTTCAAACAGTTTGGTCATTCCTGATCCTGACCAGTTCATCTTTTATAACCTTATAACCCCACTTTTCATATTGGGATATTCTCTCTAGCACACATAGCCTGCACGTTTTTTCCCTTGGAATTCTCTATGGTTTTCTTGGTTTTATGTTTTTCTTCCTTTTTCCACTTGCTGGCTACAATGCCTTGTCCTTGAAGAACAGTTTAAGTGCAAAACTCAAGTGTATTCTGTGTGCAAGGTACTTATTTTAAAGTTTTATTTATTTGAAAGGCAGAGTTGACAAGGAAAAGGAAAGAGAAATCAATCATCTTCCATCTTCTGGTTCACTTCCAAATGGCCACAATGGCTGGGCTTGGGCTAGGCCAATGCCAGGAGCCCAGAATCCTGTGTAGATCTCCCTTTGTGGGTGCAGGAGCCCACCATACTTGGGTCATCTTCACTATTTACTCAACATCATAGGCAGGTGGCTGGATTGGAAACAGAGCAGCCTTTTCCAATGTGTATCAGACCGGTACTCTGATTATGGGATACCAGCATTGCTACTGTCAGCTTTGCATATTGCACTGCAACCTGTCCCAGATCCCATTTCTTAATGTATGGAACTTGTGTTAGCATCTCCCAGCCTTTACTGGAAGTTTGATTCTTTTTATAATCTGTTGTGTTTTTTTTTTCCCCTGGTGATCTATCAGTATGTATTTCCCAAGCAGTAACCTGGCTCTAAAACAATGACCCGGTCATATTACTCAGAACCTCCACAGCATTGTGTCTGCACTGTTGGAGTCCAGATCTTTTTTTTTATCACCTGTTTCACTGGGTTCCTAACCTTTCGTCAGTCTGTAGGGTTTTTCTCTACTTCAGCTGTTTGGCCTGATCAGATGTAACACAGTGAATGAACACAGGCATTGGTGTTCTCCCACGTTCACCACCTGCGTGCTGCTTCCCCCTACCCAGGCCGAGCAAGTAGAGAGCAAGATGGTGGCAGTTATTACAGAGGCTGGTTTTCTGATCGCTCATGCTGTGCTGCATAGCCTTGAAGCTCTTGAGACTTCATCTGGGAAGTGGAGCCCTCTCCCACAAAGTTCAAGAAGAACCCAGAAATAATGACTATAAATGGGTGATGCTATCACATTGTCTTCTTGGGGGGAAAAAAAGCTTGGAAACTCATTGTTGCTTTGAAGTGTCAATTTCACATGGCATGTGCTCTTCACTTTGGGATTCCCTGCTGGAAAATTCAAGTGAGTGGCAAGCATTGTGGCATAGCCAATTAAGCTTCAACTTGTGATACTAGCATCCCATTTTGGAGGGCTGGTTCATGTCCTGGCTGCTCTGCTTCTCATCTAGCTTCCTACTGATGAGTCTGGGGAGACCATACAAGATGACCTAAGTATTTGGGCCTGTGTCACCCATGTGGAAGAAAGGGTTGTGGAAAGGGCTGTGGCCGTAAGGTTTAGCCTGGTCCAACCCTGTGGGAGACATTGGTGCAGTAAACCAGGATATGGAAGAACTTTTCTTTTTTCTGTATGTGCATGTGTATATATGTATCTCTCGGTCTGCCACTCTGACTTTCAAATCATCAACTAAGTCTTTTTTTTTTGAAAAATGGCAGGAGGCAGAGTTGAAATGTGTCTATGGAAGAATTAGTAGAAATAAAGTTGACTGGATAACCTGATTTATTGTTTTCTTTCAACTTCCCATACCCACTTAATTCATGTCATCCCTACCGATGGATGCTGGGTGGGTCAGGTAAAAAAGTCTACCTTGGAGGTCAGGAATCCCCCGGACCTACTCTGGCCATACAAATTCTTTTGGAAGAGTTTCTCTTTCTTTCCAAGAATCTTCTGTAGTTCCACTGTAGCCATTGTTTCTCTTAGCACAGGTGCTCCGTGTGTACCAACAGGGTGTCTGAAGTCTTTGGAGATCTGCTGTTATTGCTGCTGCTGCTGCTGCTGCTGCTCCACTAACCTTATTTCTCATTTTAGAGGGAGAAAGAGGTGGTCTTGCCGAGCGTCCACCAGCACAATCCTGACTGCGACATTTGGGTCCACGAGTATTTCTCTCCATCCTGGTTCTGTCTCCCCAATAACCAACCAGTCCTGTCAGTGGTCCGGCCAGGGGACACCGCCCGGGACACCCTGGAGCTGATTTGTAAGGTATGGAGTTGTGTTGATTGTTCTCTTGACAAGAGCATCATGGGGTGGAGGAATCTTCCCAGGCACAGGTGGCAAAAGCAGGTGCTAAGAAGGCACTTGCTTTTTATTTCGTGGTGGCTTTAGATTTCTTGTGAAATAGACATCATAGTAAGGGTGTGCTCCATCTTCAGGAGGAAAGGGGATTCTGCAAAGCCCCTTTCGATGTGTACATGCAGTAAATTTACAGTGAGCACATTATATGCTCATTGCACACATTTTAGCAAACCTAGATAAAGAAAAAGCACTTGCAGACCGTGCTTTTTAAAGTTAGTTTTTAAACTCAAAATTAGCCACTGTAAACATTTTGCTATCTGTCCATGTAGTCTGCTGTACCCATGCACAGACCTGCATGTCAGGATGGTGTGCCATGGGCTACTCCCCTGTGATCCTCAGTAACTGAGGTGCCACATGCACCTTTAAAGCAGGAACCATTTGACTTCCCTGATGGAAAGTTCCTCATCTTGTGAACACAACATTATCATTTTCTTAGTGATGAATGAGTGAGTTTCTATCCCTAAGCTATGCAAACTTTCGGATCTTTTTTCAAAGTGCACCTGGTTTCATTTTGTCCCCCACATTGCAGCCACATGAGTTGCCTGTGATGGGCAGGGTAGGAGGGAGAAAGAAACAAAACTTTTCTTGTGTGTGTGTGTGTGTTTTCCTTTTTATGTAATTAATGGTGTCATAGTACAAACATTTTGCATAATCAATAGCTTAATGATTAGTTGCTAATGACTTTTTTTATTAGACTACTTATTTATTTCTTAATCATATCACATCTGAGGAACAATTGACTTCCCTATTTCACAGATGAAGAAAGTAAGGCTTAGATTCTTCATTGATTGCCTGAGTTCACACAACAGTCCATTGCAAAGAGGCCTGTTCTAAGTTTGGCTGTTCCCTACTTGGATGTATGCACTGTGGCAGGAGGATGGTCTACAGCCTGAGAACCAGGGTCTGTTGTTAGGAAGAATGCTTCACAAACCTCTGAAAAAAATCTAGAATGTATTCTTAATGGAAGGAAATGATTTTCCTTGGGGCTACAGAAGGAAAAGCGAAAACCTTACCTGCCATTATTTATCTTTTAAAATGTTGGATGGGGTTGATGTTGTAATGTAACAGATAAAGCCACTGCCTACCATGCCAGCATCCTTTATACGGGCACCGGTTTATATTTCTGTGGCTCTGCTTCAAATACAGCTCTCTGCTAATGGCCTGGGAAAAGCAAGAAAGGGGACCCAAGTACCGACGCCCCTGCTACTCATATGGAAGACCTAGAAGAAGCTAAGCACTCCTGGCTTCAGCCTGGCCCCACCCCAGCCATTGCAGCCATCTGGGGAGTACATCAGCAGATGGAAGAATGAGAGAGAGAGAGAAGGAGTGAACATCTTCCATTCACTGAATCACTCCGCAAATGCCCTCAGGAGGCCAGGCTGAAGCTAGGAGCCTACATCTTTGAGTCTTTCATATGTATAGCGGGAATTCACATAGTTGAGCCATCACCTGCCGGCTCCCAGGAATGCATTAACAAGAAGCTGGATGTGAGGCACAGTAGCTAGGACTCCAATCAGGCACTCAGATTGGGATGCCAGCATTCCCAGTGGTGGCTTGACCTTGTTCTGCTGTGAGTCCTGCCCCAAGATTTCTTCACTGAACACAATGCTTTATACATATGCTATTACTTCCAGAAACTTGGTGGAAAATGAGATTTAAGGACAAGTTTATTTGGGGGCAAAAAAATTTTGAATTCCACATCTATTGAGGAATCCTCAAAAATTCATGGAAAATACATATTATGAAGAAAGCATGCATGAATTTAGATGCACTTATCCTTTAATTTCATTTTCCATTAACCTTTTGAAGTTCACCTCTTGCAAGTAACTGTTACAGCCTTAGAAAGTGCCTTGATGTTGAACTTCAACAAGTAGCGATTTCTTTCTTTCTGTTCTTTTTAAACTCAAGAGCTTTTCTAAAGAAAAAAAAATGTGACTCTTCTGTGAATGGTAGAGATAAAACAGTTCAGCTAAAGTGAGCTTTCAGATAATCTCATGTGGGGGGGAAAGCAGAAAAGCCAGTTGTTTCGGGACAATGCTAAAATCAGCCTATCACGTAGGATGTTTAAAAAAAAATCACCTTGTGTTCTTTGAATCCTCCTGTATGTAGCTCCCAGCTTTTGAAGATAATGGTATCGCTGTTCACAATTTCTCATTTTAATTACGGAACAAAATGGGTCTGCTGAGGATTCCTGCATTCCTTTATTTATAGATTCACAGAGCCATTAGCATTCCGCAGAGCTGTGGGAGGCTCTCTCAGATCTGCAGCACAAGGTGTTCGGAAGTAGCACTCTCTGGCCTGTTTGTATCTGCCAGATTCTAGAAAGCCTTTCCAGTGAGTGGCCTGCCTTTGAGGACAGCCTGTACTCCTCGGCTTTAGGACACAGTCGGGAATCGATAATTAAGCCAGAGCTTTCTGGTAAACAGTGATTGGCAGAAAATTGATCCTTGGTAGGGCAGTGAGTGGGTGGCCCAATTTGAGGTACTTGTTCCAGCTTTTGCCTTGGTAGAAGCCAAGAGAATGAAGAAGGAATATTGTCACTGCCACCTAGAGACCATCTTTAGATAAGGCTGCGTCCTTTTCCCTGCAGGAGTTTGTTTCAGTCACTTGATGCTGGTGGCATCATTAGGACAAGTCCCTCTAACAATGAAGGGTCATCCTGCCCGATGTGCCCCGGGGCTTCCATTCTTCACCCCCCCACACACCCCACCCTAACCCCCCCGAAAGACAGAAATAAGACAAAGAAAGAGTGATGTGGAGCAGGCTGACATCTCAGGAGTTGGAAGACAGAGAACTTTTGCAGTTGTGCTTTACAAAATGGATCATCTCTGGGAGCGCTGTTCCATGTAGGACACATTATAGAGTGCTCAGAGCCAGGTGCCATCTGAAGCTCGCCTCTTTGGAAAACGCTCATTGTAATTAGGGGAGCCAGTTTTGCTCTTAGAAGGGAAAATTTAGTAGGGAAATAGGGGAAACAGTGCCTCGTGTTATTAGTGATCGGATCTAATGGTAAGGTTTCTTTTTTGTTTCTTCTTTATTTTGAAGGAAGGGGTGACAACAGAGATGAGTCTAAGAGTGTTTGTGTTTATTTCATTATTGCCATGCTCAGCGTGGGTGATAGATGCCTTCTCTAATATTTAATCATCAATCCTGTTCTTGCATGTCTGCGTTCAGCTGATCTCTTTCCATTGCTGTCTGATTCACATCATTTCTCATCAGTTCGCCGTCTGCCATCCCACCACCAGTCAAGTTCCAGTTACAGCCAATGTTTTAAGATCTACAATTGTAAATGTTTTTGTAAATATTGCTGCTGAGTATAGCAGGCAATGATGTTAGGCTATATGTTTTGGGTATGTTCTGATCACCATTGCAATTATAAAAATTGCAGAAAAAATTCTGTTTATTCATACTGGCATTATGTACATGTAGCTATGGTGTCAATTTTATTTCATTTTTGCAGTGTATTGGCCGATGACTTAATTATGTATGCTGATAACCATTAGTAACTAAAGAATACAACATGACTTTGAAGGGGAGGCTTGATGTCGTTAGAAATTCTGCAGCGGCACTGTCTGTGTTTGTTTGTGGAGTTCGGTATTCTGGAACTGCATGTTTGTGCGTTTCCCAGAGAAGTTTGGCTCAAAAGGAGAACTGCATAGAGAAATGGAAGAGTAAAACATGATGAATGAGAAGATCCAAGGCGAATCATTCTGAAGCCTGTTATCTATTTTAATTGGCTGCCGCTGTTTACTAACATGATCTGCATTATGTTTTGCTGCTACTTCCTTTCAAATGTGTGTTGTAAAAGTTATGCCAACTAAACTAAAATTGATTCTGCAATATTTGTTTTATCTTATAATTTACAGCTGCATTGCCTTAAAAACGAATCAAATACTCTCCATGTCGCTTCAGCAATTTGAGTATGTTGGGAAACAATTTTATACTATCTTTCCTTAATTGAATTTTCTCTTGTGTTAGGAAATTTTGTCTCGAATGTTTCACAAGTCCAAAGCAAGTCCTGTATATAAGAAGATTGACTTAAAACATTCATCAGCACATGGAATTCTTTTACAGAAAAATGTATTATGAGCATGGCTGGTTGTTACCCTGCTTTGATACTGAGGAACATACAATTCTTCTCAGGAGTTCTGCTGGTCTGATCTAATTAGCTAATTAGGATTTGTTTTTGCTATTGAACCAGCTGTGAGTGACAAGGATCATGGTTCAGAAACTTTTACAAAGCCAAGAAGACATCTTGGTGTTTTGATTCATTGTCCTGTGTTTAGGGGAACTATTTACCAGCCGAAATAAGGGTTCCTCCACTGTCAAATAAGACTGCTAGATTTTTTATGTTTTGCTATACATGCTTATTTCTAGTCTTGAAAATTATCAGGACATTGTTGTCATTTCAAGAGTCTGGAAAGACGTGATGGGGGTGGGCGAGTGGTGGTGAGAATCACCCCCACCACCACTGTCCCATCCATCCCTGTTCTGTGATTACTGCAGGGCTGTCATCATTGTCAGTGAGATGCCTTGGCCACGGTGTGGTCTGTTTACAAATCTGTCAGTGTTGTCCACAGGCTTTAAGGAGTGCTGGGGACCCCTGTGGTCTGCACCATGGCCACCCAAAGCCTGTGAGTGTCTGGCAGTAGCTTTCTCACAGTGAGGTTAGTGTTGGAGTCTGATTTCCGGAGGATGGTCCCTATGGACGGCTCTCCCAGAGGGGCTGTCCGTCTCCACGGGGGTGTTCACTGGGTGCTTACTGATGATGACCATAGGTGATCTGCTCCTCTTACTAAGACCCCGTGAAATTTCATTTCTCGTTTTATTCCGCCTCAAGTCAGAAACAGATGGTGAACCAAAAATGTTTGCTTCTAATTAAAGACTTCACTGAGGACCTGGGTAGGTGGGAAACATTTGCAGCCTCCGACTCTGCCAGGGATCATCCTTGCTGATCAGAGCAACCTAAATATTATTTTGTTGTTGTTCGTTTTGCCTCGGCAGCTCTCCGGCAAGCAGTAGGTAACGGCAGCACACTTAGAATCTCCTGTTTGTGTCTCCCTGAGCTTTCCCTTCCGCCCTTCCCAGTTTTGCCTTCAACAATCCCGGGTCCGTCAGACAATGACATCTGATCTCAAACGCAGACAGCCAGCTAATGAAAGCCTGACACACAGGATGCATCTACTGAACGGTGTCTTAGTTCACAGCAGGCATCGTGCTTTCCCTCGGTACTCAGGGTGGGCTACACACTGGGGAAAAACTTTTTTACCACTCTGCTAGCTGATCAAGGCAGACTCATTCCCACTTTCCAGAATTGTGTTTTCTTTTTTTTTTTTTATTGTATTTTTGACAATCTTTATATAGTTAGGGTAAAAAGGTTCAAGGGCTGCAGGAAAGTGGGTAAGACTATTATTTCCACATTGCTTCTTTCATGTATCTGAGGTAAAGGGGGATTTTAAGCAAGAAGCCCCACCCAGTGTCTCACCCACCCCTGGTCCCTGATGTGGGGCATGCTCCAAGGGTCTTGCTCAAGTGGTTTGATAGTTCAGCGGTTATGAATCACTGCCAATCTCGCCACTCCAAGCATGATAAGGTCATTGAAGAATCCACTGATTGACATAATCCATCATAAAGTCTTCTTTTGTCCAGTATTTCGCTGCCAACACATAGCTGAAGTGGTTGATTGACCTGTTCTGTCTTTCATCTTTTCTTGGTTAGGATTCTGAGTCTGCCATTTCGATTGGGGAGATCCCCAAAGAAACCCTGTCTGAGGTGTCCCAGACCAGATTCTTGTATGTGCTAGCAAGTACAGGGCCCGCCACAGTCTATTGCCCTGATCAACTGGTGGTTGCAATTGTTGGGTTGGTTCTGTTTTCAGCCCCGACTTCCACTGGAACCAATGGGTGTTGCAGTCCAGCCTGGTTCTGCCCAGCACATACTCAGCCCTCACGTAAAAACCAGTGGGAGCTGCAGCCCAGCAGAATTGTGTTTCCATAACAGTGCAGGATGCCTATTCTGTATTTTATTTAAAAAAAAAATCAGTGTTGCCTTACTTTTAATTTTGTTTTTTTTTTCTAAGACTTATTTATTTTTATTTGAACAACATATTTATATGGAAAAGGAGAGACAGAGTTCTTCCATCTGCTGATTTGTTCTCCCAAATGGCCAGTATGGCTGGAGCTGAGCTGATCTGAAGTCAGAAGCTTCCAGGTCCACCACATGGATGCTGGAGCCCAAGGACTTGAGCCATCTTCCATTGCTTTCCCAGACCATAGGCAGGGAGCTGGATAGGAAGTGGGATGGCTGGGATTTGAACTGGCACCCATATGGGATGCCAGTGCTGCAGAGCGGAGGATTAGTTTGTAGAGCTACCACACTCTGCCACTATTTTAACATAATTCTTATCAATGAAGCTTTGGGTATGAAGAGAGTGTGCATTTCAGACTGTGAAAAATTTCAAGTTTATGTGAAAACAGAGAACAGTGTAATAAATTTTTATGTGTTATCTGGAATCTTTACTTGTCATGTTACCCTCCATACATTCATTGCACTCACTAGCAAATCCCTATCTGGATTATGTTGGATGCAAGTTCCAAACATTGTATTATTTACCGATTAGTCCTTAAGGATGTATTTCTACAGATAAAAACACTTAGAAATGACTTAGCTTAACCCTCTAGAGGTATATTATTGTGTTATTTGAAAGAGAGTGACAAGCAGATGGGAAAAGAGAGAGATAACCCCTGTTTGAAGGAGTCTCTTGTCTGATGTTTTTTGTTGAGAAAGGCTGGTGCTGAAGAGTACGCTAAATCAAAGAAGGAGAAATGAGCTGTGACTCAGTTCTTTCCATTGAATCATTCCCATGGAATAGTATTCATGTGTTCAACGAAAATCATTTTGAAATTGAGTTTTGAGTGTAGATTTTTTATGAGGTCGAGAAATCCCTCTCCCTCCACTGTGAACAAATTCCCGTTGTTCCTGAGAATACTTAATGCCATGTCCACGAAGGCCTAATGATGCCAGCTTATGCCTGAACAAACTTTCTTTTCCTTTTGTCTCAGACACATCAGCTGGACCATTCTGCTCATTACCTGCGGCTGAAATTCCTAATAGAAAACAAGGTGCAGCTGTACGTTCCACAGCCCGAGGAGGACATCTACGAGCTGGTAATGTTTATGACTTTCGTCCCTGTGCATTTTACAAGAGATGACTTTCAAATTACATGTACATTTGTGTTAATGGTGGTTGATGAAGTGGAACGAGTTCGAAAATAAATGGGCTTTTCGTGTGGAGCCCTCAGGTTGGCCTCACAATTGTACTGTTTCCACAGTGTGCAAATGCCACCTTTGTTGACCCAAGAAGCAGGACTGTGCCCTGCTCTCATGAAATACTGGGCTCCACAGCTCATGCTCACAGCTTTTTCATCGTTATTACTAGCTTTCCTTGTAGTTTCTACAGTTTTTATTTTAAATTCATGATTCAGAGATCAGCTGGCTGCTGTTAGAAAAAAACAGCTATTCCAATTTTGTGTGACATCCACATGTATAACGAAACTGATGGGCCAGATCTTTTTTGGGAGGGAAAAAGCTACCATCTGATTTTCTGCTCCAGCCTCTTGGAACTGTATTTATTCAGATTCTTGGCAACACTTGGGTATGTTTGAATTTCAGCATATTTATGGTTCTGAATGAATGTGGCTTTTATTTTTATTACTCCTGTGCTTAGTAATCATGTAGAATATGAGGTGGGATATGATGATTATCTCTAGGTTAGAGATAGTGATTCAGCTAGTCCATGTTAACCATTATTATTGTACTAAGCCAGGTGTAAGTTCCTTTTTTGTTAGCTGGGTGGTGTAACTTTCAGTTCCAGTAAAGAGACATGTTGGGAGCAAGGCACCTCTCTTTTGGAAATCATTTCTCTCTGTCCTTACTCATTCCTTTTGGGGATGTGGAACTGCCTGCCATGGATACATGAATGATGGAAGTATGACTTCAGATGTGTGACCACAAAAAGTAGAATTCAAAATTCAAGCCCAAATATCCCTGGCTTTTTTTTTTCTTTTTTTGAGTGGAGCATCAGGGAGGGAAAGGGAAGCATAATATAAAATTCATTAGGAAACTTTTTTTTTAGCAAACATGGAGGTGAGGTCCTTTAATAAAAATGTGCATCTTCTTGAAGCACACAGTTAATGAGTTCTGACAAAAGCGTATAGTCCTGTTGCCACCACTGTGATCATGATCTGGGATATCTGTCGTCCTCCAAAATTACTTTGCGCCCCTTTAAGTAATTTTAACGAAATGGAAGAGAAGATGTGATTTTGTAATACTCTTAGTATCGTTATGCAATAGCAGATCACTGTGTTGGTCAAGGGAGGTACAGTGAGCAGTGCTGGGGTTGTCTTCTTTCTATGGCGTGGGAAAAGCTCAGTCTTAGTGCTGTATAAGTGGAGGAAAAAAAATCCATCACTCTTAATGAAGAACAGAGGTGTCTTTTGCTGAGAACACCAGAATAGCTGCTCAATCATACATTTTGCATTTTGGGTTTGATAATTTTTACCATCCTAAATTACAATGATCAAATCTTAACTAGTTTTCATGTCTCCTGTATCTTGCACATAAGAGCTGTGTGTGCTTGTAATAAACCCTTTGAAACTGTATTGACGCATTTACTATTTTTAATTCTGTGCCTTTGTGTGATTTCATCCCACACAGAAGATTAAAGTGTGCCAAGCTGAGATTGCTTGCATCAACAATTGTATTATCCCTATTATACTTAAAAAAACAAAACAAAAACAAAAAATGCAGAATCTAAAGGTCAAAAAGACCAGGACATTCTTTTTCTTAATGTTGTGGAAGGTCTCCAGCCCCAGAGATCCCTAAGAAAGGAAATGGTGGCATTTTGCTCATGTTAACACCTATTTTTATAGTCAGTGTTTGTTCACTGTTTTGTACCTGGAATATCTGTGCAGTCTGGGGAAATGTTCAGACTCCATTTCAGAATGATGTTTCCATTTGCAGGAAATACAATATGTAGGCCTATTGACTACTTAGATTGAGATGAAGATCAAAAGTACTTTTAAAATTACAGCGTGTGTGCCATGTATCAGCTTGGTGCTTTGTAGGACTTGGCAGCAGCTCCAGTAGCTACTGCTCTTCTGAGTAGTGCTGAGCATAAATAACACGTTGAGACATTAGCAGCAACTGCTGTGCGGCCTAAGAATATCTGACTTCTGCTTGTGAGAAAACCACAGGCACTGTTTATATTGGTATGTTTGTTGCTGTAATTCTCTGATGATCAACAAAAATGGTTTCAGTTAAATGTTTGTAAATGTAAGGATATATTGTTTTAACCATTTGGGTTCAAAGATTCCACCTCACTCCCCCACCCCACCCCTGTTGCATTTTATCTGAGTTGCTAATTTCAAATTCCTGTTTTAGGTCCATAATGTCCTTTCTAAAGAGATACTTTTTGAGCACAAAGCATTTTCAAATGCTTTTAGGGAGTTTGCAGATGTTGAATATACTGTCATCGACTAAAGAAGCAGTTTATTTGAGAGAGTGAACTAGATCATTAGCTGGTTTACTAACTAAATTCTCATCAGAGCTCCTACTCTGGCAACATTGTCCAGAACCAGGAACTCAGTCCAGTTCTCCCATGTGGGCAGCAGGAACCCAGCCCCTGAGCCATCACTGTTACTTCCCAAGGTGCACATTAGCAGAAAGCTGGAGCCAGGAGCAGAGCTGTGCTTAGCGTCTGAGCACTCCACTGCAGGCTGCAGGTGTCTAACTGACATCTTTACATCTAGGCCATGTGTCTGCTCCTCCTCTTGATTTTGGTGGATGGAGGAAGCTTGCAGGTGCTGAAAGCCATTGTTTTATAAATGACTCATTTGTATTGTAGTCTATGCCATTTGTTTTGGCAAGCAGCCTTCAGGAGTCAGATCAATAGGTGGTAGCGAAAGTCTGTACTCGATTTTAGAGCTCTTTTTTTGGAGAATCTGCTATGCTTGTTTTAGGGGGTCAGGAGATTCTCTTGCTTGTGAATAACCAGTGATTGTTAGTCATTTGTTTCTCTCTTTCACTTGATGTGTTCATGAGCGTGATACCTGAGGGGCTGCTTTTTCACTGTTAGTGTTTGGGTCCAGCCATAGAACCAATGTTAACACAGTTGTAACCTGCTGAGGTGCTGGTTTCACAAAATTCCACACTAGTGTTTTTCTTTAAAAGGACAGGTGAGAATAAAGAGCTTGCAGAAGTTTGGAACAATTTATTTATTGATCTTGTAAACATGTATGCGGCATCCATGTGCTTGATGCTATCGTAGCTATTCTCAGCAATTTTGGGGGATATGCCCAAAAACAGCAAGTATTCAGAGGTAGATATAGAAACTTCATGTGTCACATCAGGGGACCTTCTCTGTTTGGAAGGGTGAGGGGTGCGCATCTGGAAGTGGCTCTGTTGCTCTTTTCACATGTGCCATTGGAACAACTGGGGCAGGGGGTCTATGGAGATCAGCTCTGATGATTGAAGTTAAGAGGTGAATGGGAAGGGCAGTATGGGAGGGACACAGGAGGTGAGGGGAGGAGGGAATCAGGCCAGCCCAATAGAACCTAAGGGAGATGATGGACCCCAGGAGAGGTAGGAGAGTGGTTCCATATCTTCAGGTTCACCTGAAAATATTGAAAGGAAAATGAAAAGTTGTTGCTGTTCTGTGCTATGGAGTTAGGGCTGCAGTACTTATATTCCCTAAACAATACAAACATAACTGCATAAGATTTGCATTGCATGAGGTGTTAAGTGTGCTTAGAGATGATTTAAAGTATACAGGAGCATGTTTGTGGGATGTTAGTATCTCCGTGCATTCTGGAACCAGTTGCTGAAGGATAGCTGTGTTTGACATGTGCTGCCTGGCTCACTGTGGCAGATATGTGGCAAATGGACCACATAGGGCCTAAGAAAGGGAGCAAGCAGGGTAGGAGGTGAGATGCTGTAACTGAGCCAACAGCAGAGCCGTTTGGACCAGGCACCCAGAAGAGTCATGATTTTACGAGAACTCAGGTGCTTAAGTTAACAAAATGTTCCTTAAAAACTGAGCATCTTCCCTTGTTGTTTTGGAGAAGAGAGAAAGCATACAACACTTTTCGTTTATTAAAAAATGAAGGAAGTTTTAAAAATTTACAGAAAATAGAATTAAAAGATGTTACTTTTGGGACCAAGATTTTGATGTCCATGCATATGAGGAGTCTTCAGCATTTCATGGAAAGTGAAAATGATGAAAAAAATTCTGCAGGGATTTGATCAACTTTCTGCCCCCAAATTTAACTTTTAATTTTCACATAGCCTTTAAGAGGTATCTTCATTGTGAATTGCATTTCTATATGAAGCTATTTCTAAAGGTTCTCCTTAAAAACAGAGCACACTTCCTTCTTGAAATATTATCTATTTTATTAGTGCTTTTTGCTAAATTTAACTTGGGCCTCACTAGCGTAAGAAGGAATGATGTGGCTCAGGGCGCTGTCTGCGTGGTCCCTTATCATCCTCTGCGACTAGCACAGATAGGAAAACTCATATACCCATTCCAAAGACTAGCAAGAGGTGGCATTAGTGAAGAAACAGGAAAAATGGCTCACCAAGCTTCATTGCCTCCCAAGTTTTGTGGAGAGAATTGAACAGTGACATACTGCCACCTGGGGGAAGGATTTGGTCTCAGGGAAGTTTACAACATCAATAAGGCTTCCACTAAGTGCAAAGGAACACAGAGGATGTCTCCCCGTCCTCCCGCCAGCATCGTGACATGATAGAGTATGTGCTATTTATCATTCTGGTAAACTAACCACCAGTCTGATTGTTTTTCTCATTTGGCAGTTTATTATTTGTGTGCACAGTTTCTGATGTATCAGAGTGAAAGCACATCAGTTTCGCACTTATCCCATTGCATGTGGTGGAAGGTGCGGTGAGCTGGGGTGCTGAGATGATCCGGCTGCGCTGTGTGTTCCCATCCTCCCACCCTGTCCTGTTGCCTTCTCTTACTGCTCAATTTTCTGGATTCCTGCATTAAAAGCATTATGCTCACCTCCAAGATGCCTGAAGCGAATCAAGAGAGAGCATCCGGCATGCTTTCCGACTTGCCTGAGTAAAATTACTTCTGGCTATGCGGTCAGCGATGGGAGCATGTTGAGATAATGGCCAAGCCCTCTCTTTGCTGCTACCCGATACTTTTTCTGTTCTTGACTTTGGCTCAAACTCTGTTTTTTTTTCAAGATCAAAATAGTTTCGCCATTCCATAGGAGCCGTTGACACATTTAGTTTTATTTAAATTTCGGGTGTAAAGACTTGGCCCACCTACTGAAGAAGGTTTTTTGCTTTACTTTGAAACTCCCAAGTTCCACATGGAGCTGGTCTGGGAGGCATCTGGGGTTCACGGAGAGAGCTTCACCCCGAAGCCTTGGTTCGAACTCTAACTGCCCACTCCAGCCCCAAGCACTCAAGCAAGCACTTTCTGCAGCTGTGATCCCCTTGTCTGTGATACAGAGAGCTTTCTCGTCTCATGAGTGTGGGAGGCAAGGCTGTGTGGCCGGAACTGTGTGCCAGGTTGGTCCTAAGGCAGACTGTGAGCACAGAGCATCAGTGAACTGCAAGTACGGTAGCCGTGGGGTGGCCATTGCACATTATTCTCAGCTTTGTTTGGCAAAAACTCATTTGCTAGGATTTCTAGACAGTCGACTGAACTGAGTACTTAAGGCTTCCAGATAAATTTCTGACTTTTTTTTGTCATTTTCCTCTACCTGTTTGTACTGTCTTCAATTTTGCAAGCAAAAAATAATATGTGAGAAGAGAAAAGAATGGAAGTATAGCAATTTCTCAATTTTCCCACAAATCCAATGCCCATGTTTTTCTGATCTCATCTTGATTTCATAAAAACTTCCCACTTCCCCAGAAATGGAGCTTTTTAATCTTTTAGTATGTTTTTCAAGACTGTGATACATACAAGGTGGGAATGCGGAGTGATGATGGGGAATATCTCAACACCACACTGTCCCTGGGTTTGGGCATGTGAGTTACAAATTTTGACTCTGACTTTACAAGATTCAGGTAAATAACAATACGAATGTGACGTGAATTCACATTCCATGAGCAGTCATGTGGGTGGAGAGGTTTACGGAATTACGAAGTTGTTGATGGCGAAATGCTAACTGACGCCTCCTTGTTGTTTTCAGCTATACAAAGAGATTGAAATTTGTCCAAAAGTCACTCAGAGCATCCAGATTGAGAAGTCAGATGCAGCGGCTGATAATTACGGTGCGTTGTTTCTTCTTTGATCTCTGGTGTGTGTTTCCAGTGAAAGCATTTCCAGTGTGAACGTGAACCTTTTTTACAATTCAACACAATACTCTGGGGGTCTATTAAACACGGGAGCACATCTGGTATGTGTGCTGTGCAGGGCATCCAGACTCGGGGAAGCAGAGGGAAGGTCAGTCCCTGGGTGCCGGGAGGACTTTAGCCTTCAGTCTCTTAGATTGAATCGTGGAGTTCCCCTTTCTAAAAGGAAGTGGGTATACCTGAAGTTTATATTATTGTACTCGAGTAATGAAGAAATTACCCCTTACCCCTTTCCCACAAACCATTCCCATTACCCTCTGCTGCTGTATAGATAAGGTTAAAGGAATACCGCTGGCTGGTATCTCTGAGTACCTCCTCCAAGTTTACAGATTCAGTAGCAGGATCTACAGAATTCAGCATCGCTTTCTGCTCATGAATCTGATTTTATTTCAGTGAACTAATGCAGAACAGAAACAATAAAGGGAAAAGCCATGGTCCAGGGTCCCAAATCTTCTTTCATTGGGTTCAGATAGAACAGGGTCAGGTCCTCCAGTACAACATTGAGACAACACAAGGGAAATGCTGCCCGCTGGGAAGCTCCTTGGAAACAGTGGGGCCAGGGCTTTTCTTGGGAAGCTGGTCTTGTCTAAAGTTGCAGGGTCCGAAGAGGAGACAGGAACAAATTGTGTGGGTATAGGGGAGCCATGTTCAGGTGTTAGGAGTCCTTGCCAGTGCCAGTTAAGGGCCAGACTTTACACAGGTCCTCCATTGAATAGCATTCAGGCCTGATCAGGCTGCGCTTTATACACAGCTGTCTGCATTCTGGCATGGTTACTGATGTAATTCTTTCCATATGCGTGAGCCTAGTCTAACTTTATCAACATTACACTGTACTAATGGAATAGTAACAGATTTTGCATTAAATAAGGGAAATCCACACTGTGCTGTATTAGTCAGGAGCAGTGAGGTTAGCTGAGGTCACCCAGGTCCTCAAGAGAACTTTCTGTCTCACGTTCACTGTGTATTCTTTGTGGCTTGGCTTGACCTTGGCTTGACCTTGCTTCCAGTATCCGGGTCTGGGATATCTGTCATAGGTGAGGCAGGTGTTGGCTCAGTTGCAGCTCTTCAGCCCAAGCAGTTTGCCTGGCATACTCACCTTCGAGAGAGCCACAAAGTGGGGGTCTACCAAGTGGTAGAAGGAGACCAAAGCTCCTGATGATGAGATGTGAAAATACATGCCTATTTAATATTTCTCTCTAGACCAGGTTACTAAACTGTTTAGCATTTGGGACTATGCAAAGCCTTTGCCAAGCAGTGGACTAGGATCTTCCTTTTGCCCTTTCACCTCTAGGTAACCAGCATGCTTGTTAGATCTTTTAGGCCTGGTGCAGGTAGACTAATCTTGAACCCCTGGCCACTTGCATTACACTTTCATGTTATCACTGCTTGGCTTAAAACTGAAAATGTTATAAAGCCTGGAGCATGCTTTTGGTGGCAAGGAATGATTGTTTATAAAAGGCCTGTTGTGTGGTACCTAAGTCATTAAAGTGTAATTGGAGGCAGTGTTGTAAATGCGTGTCTGTCATCCCACATCAGGTGTTCCTGGGTGAGGGTTCTTTTTAAGTTCATGCAGTTTCTATTGGTCAGGCTAAATGAGCAAGACTCAAGGGAAGGCTGAATTTCAAAGCTCTTAGATTATGATTCTAAAGGTGATTTGAGAACTCAGAAATAAGGCACTGGACATGAAACCATGTCATGGTATTTCTTCCTTACTCATGGGAGATGCTATATTCCAGAACCTTCTTTGCATGCCTGAAACCACAGATACGACTAAACTCTGTGTCAACTCTATTTTACCTTTGTGCAAATTAGCAGTTACTACTGACAAGCAAATACATTATTACACTGTATTGCAACCAAAGCTGGTTACTGGTAGCTGAAGCTACAGAAAGAAAACCTCAAATAAGGGGTAACTACTATACACACATTATGTATGCGGGTTTTTTTGCTTGTTTGTTTGTTGTTGTTGTTTTCAGCAAAGTTACTGAGTTACAGGCATGTGGAGGATGTTACAGGGTACCAGGCATCAATCTAGAGGGCATGGTAAACAGTGCTCCTCCAGCTAGGTGCTATAAAGAGGCAGGTGTTTGCTTTTTATTTTAATCCCCACAGTTTGTGATTGCTGGTGCTTTTGCAAAAACACAAAATTCCATGCGTTTGAGTTGTGACAATATCAGATGGCTGCAGGGACCTCTCTGCCTGCTCTTAATTGCTGTCCTCTTGTTGCTGTCAGTAGCAAGCACTGAACTGTGCTTTGGACGGGGCTTCCTATCTGGCTAGCAGCCCTGGTCCATCCATTTCTTCTTAGTGCTCAGGTTCAAGTCTGCATGCAGTAAAGTTAGTCAGGAGTCTCTCTTCTCTTTGCCTGCACCCTCAGTTTGTTCTCAGGCCTTTCACTGAGGGGAGCTCATATAGTTCTGGGATCCCTAGACCAAGGAGGGATCACTTCAGTTGCTTGGCATTGCTTCTTCTCTGGGGACTTCTGCTGAGGCTGCTAGATCTGTCCTTTGGCTGCAAGTGTCAGTGGCTTGAGGGATCTTGTGGCAGTTCATTGTGCGCCTTTGGTCTGTTTGGTTGCTTGACTTGGTTTTAGTCACTTCATTCATTCTCAAGCTCACTATTCCAGGTACCACTCCTGATGTTTTCTGGTTGGTGGATTCTTTGGTGTGTACACCATGGCTCCCTCTGGCTCCTTTTGGCAACCATGTTGGACTCTATTGGAGTTGTTTGCTGATAAGTGAAACATTGCTATCTCACTTAAAAGAAGAAAAAGTCTAGTTTTGCTGATGAACTATTAAAATTGCTTTTTATTGAATTAAATACCATCAGCTGTAGGCTGTTTAGTATTTTCTGTATTTGGTGATGTGGCAAGCATCAAGTTACAGTGCACAGTAGTGTATGCCATATGCTGTGGAGTATGGGGAGAGGTAGTTCCTGGGTCAGTGTAAGCTCCTGTTTGAGCCCCTCAGCAAGTGACCCCCAAGATAGAGTCCAGTCCTATGCTTGGAGTCCAGTCCTGGGCTTCCATCTGGGTGTTCCACTTGAATGAGTCTGTCTCTGTGGCCTGTTCTGCCCTACAGAGACTTCTCCATTGAGCTGAGAGTTTCAGTCTGGTACAGATCCACACTTGGTACCCAATTACCTATTGCAAGTTGCATGGTCAGTTGTGGTCAACAGACTAGATAGCCTCCCTATTCTCACTCCTGGTTTAACCTTCTGGTTATGAAAAATAAGGCCAAGATTCGAGAGGATGGAACAAATGAATACTGAACCTATTGACTTTGGCTTGGGGTGGCTGGCAGCAGGTTCTCAGCATGGTACCCTTCTACCATCTTCCACTTTAACAAACTAGTCCCTGGCATGCCATCAAGGTGCCCTTTTTTGTATCAGAAAATTTTTTTTGTTTTAGCATTTTGTAGAATAATAGTACTCCTTTAAGCAAATGCCAGTGTTTTGATGAGTGCTGTCCATTCATTTCCCATGACATAGCTCTTGATTCTAACAAATAGAAGGAAAATTTTATGAAGTGTAGGTAAAGACATCATCAAAAAGGTTAATGCCACTTAAGTGGTTCAGTGTAAAATGATTGTTGTTTCCTTGAGGCTTCTTGAAACCTCTTTCAAAAGCCACAGGTTGATGTAAGAATGGAGTTCAAAATAAGAGATGAAATGAGGACTTTGGAAAGTCCTCAGGGTGGCCTCATGTGCTTCTGTATCTGTGGGATTTATGGTGTCTGAGAGAGTGGGTGATAGCAGTTGGCAGCTGGGCATACATGCAGTTGTCTGTTTCCTGGTCTTGTGAAATAAATAAAGCAACGTGTTCCTTTTCACATGGCCCAAAAAGTCTCAAAGACTCCTCCCTGGGACTGAGTCTCTTAACTAATGACTCTGTTCCTCTCTGCTTGTTTGCTGTTTTAAGCCACTTGCCTCCTCTGCTACTGGCAGGTGGATGTCCCCTGTTACTGTTATGTGAAACTGTTTTTCTCCCGGAGCAAGCAGTTACTGCAGATCCTTACAATTGTGGTCATTCCTGGGACGTGTTTAGTAGTACTTATCAAGATCTTCTTTCCCACCAGGAGAGTAGGCATTGGTTGTGGACATCCAGTCTATCAAAAGTTTCACATGAGTTGCTGTAAGAATGGGTTCGAAGGCTTCTAACTGTGGGATTGACAGCACCCAGAACCCCCAAAGCAGTTAGAGAAGCCCAGGATTAATGAACTAATGGGTTTTGAGCTCTGAACACCCAAATAAGATAACTTTCAGTCACTACAAGAGTATCAAATCAGTCGGTTTCTTTATGAAATGAGATGTGCATAGTGACATACCGCTTCTCCCCGTGTAGTGTTCAGGCCACAATATGTACGAGTGTAGACATACCATGTAGTGGGACTTTGTGGGGCAGTTGTCACCTTAGGACATAAATTTAACTTTAAAAAGTGGGGGTGGGTAAGAGAAGTTGATGAGGTCAGCTAATCCTTTTGTGCTATAAGGAGTAAAGAAACGTGAAATGCTGACAGGGAACTAAGACATGAGGCAAACTAGTTTCCGTCTGTTTAAGCTGTTAGGTAAGCAGTATAAGGACAGACTTAGCAATATTTACTTTTGCAGATAGCTGATGTTTTATTTAGAGTGATCTAAAAATACTTTTTTTTCCCTGCTTTTGAAACCATCTGAGCAAGGGAAAAACAGTGTCTCCAAATTGGAACCCAAAACATTTAAACATATCTAGTTCACTGAAGGTACTTCCTGTTGTTTGCTTACCATTCAGAAGATGCGAGCTGTGCCATCCTGTCTCTGTGTTCCGCAGGGTTTTCACTTTCTTCTGTGGAGGAAGATGGTGTGCAAAGGCTCTGTGTGAACAGTGTGAAAGAAACTGGGTTAGCTTCCAAGAAAGGTAAGTCAACGACTGTCTTTAGCTTGCCTCTGTTTTATTTCCTCTTGGGTTTCTCTGGCTGGTAGGTGAAGAAGATTGCCCCAAGAATTCTGGTGTAGAGAAGATCTGTTCCTTTTAGAAACCATTTCGGGAAATATGGACTTGATTCCATTAATTCCCTTGTGTAAGAAGTACTACCTTCTTGGATTTTGAGTCAGATTCTTAGTCTGTTTCCCTGGGCCAGTCCAAGTTGTTAGTGGCTGTCCCTTCTCCATCTTCCAGGATGCTGTGGGGGGTCTTGGGGTCTTTCTTAGAGAGCAGCACCCCAGAAAGGCCTCTCTGTTGGTCCACATGGGGCTGACTCCAGTCATCCCTGGAGCCTGCACAGCTCCTGCAAAGCAGGTGTTGTGTTGCTTCCATTTCTACAGGAATCTGTGGAAGTTGAGTACCCAATGATTGCACATCTAACCTTCTGGTTCCCATTCTAAAAGCACAGCTATTCTGTGGTATCCTGCTGTATCCTGAACTAGGAGCCTGTATCCTTTCAGCCTTTAAGGATTCATAATACTCTGGGGCTCCTTGTGGATCCCCACCTCTCCATCCTCTTACTGCCCATTTGGGTCTTTTCAACCTGGATTATTTGCTCACTGTGTTTCCTGAGGCTCTCCTGACAACATTACACACACTGAATGGTCTGAAGCAATAAAAACAACATCATTTAGGAGATTTGAAGTCTGTAGAAAAGGTATTGGCATTTCTCCTAGTCCATTCTCTGTTGCTTAGCAAAGTGCCTGCGATGGGTGATTTATAAGGGAAAGAAGTTTGTTGGAGCTCCTAGTTCAGGAACCTGGAAATCCAAATCATTGTGTTGCTCAGGGCCTCGTGCTACCTCCACTGAGCAGCAGAAACCCAGGTGGAAGACATGCAACTGTGTCCTCTGACGGTAACCAATCCAGCCCTGAGAGAACAGGAACTCAGTCCCACCAGAAAGCACTAATTCTTATTCAACAATCTAGTTACATTTTTAAGGTTCTGTCTTCCAGCACTGCTTCAATGGTACTTAAATTTGCCTTTAAAAATATGTATTTATTTATGTATGTATTTGAAATGCATGGTTAGAGAAGAGAGGGAGCTCTTCCATCTGCTGGTGTACTTGCCAACTGGTTGCAACAGCCAGGGATGGGCCAGGCTAAATCTAGGAGCATGGAGTTTCATTCTGGTCTCCCAAGTGAGTAACATGTGCCCAGGTACTTGGGCCATCTTCTGTTGGTTTTCCAGGCATGTAAGCAGGGTGCTGGATAGGAAATAGAGCCGCTAAGACTCAAGCCAGCATTTAGGGTTGCTGGCATTACAGAGGGCAGCTTACCTTGCTACTTTGCAGTGCTTGGTCCCAGTAATTAAATTCCAACATGAGTTATGGCAAGGATAAGTCACATCCAAACCGTAGCAATAGAATTGGCTCTTCTGAATCTGTCCCATACCTCCCTCATTTCTACAGGCAGCTGACAAGCCCTGGCGTTCTGTGGCACAGCACTCATTTCTGCCTCTGTAGGCACACAGTCTTTACTGTATGTTTCTACATGACCTTATTAGGAGAACGTCATCATTGAGCTTAGGACTTGCCCTGAATCTTTTTGAGCTTATTTTGTCTGGTTATTTATGTAATCTGTATTTGTCTTTGTACTTGAAGAAGATCACATCATGGTGGTCCTAAATGGATGTGAATTTTTTGGGTAGGGGTCACTATTCCACTGACTACGCTCACTAAAAACAAATAGGGTAGACAAAGCTTTAGAGCCACTTTCAGGTGTGCTCTTGCTATGGAATCTGTTTATTTTATTTGAAGAGCAAAGTCAGGAAGAGAGGCAGATTCCCAATCCACTAGTTTATTACCCAAATACCCCTAACAGCTGTAACTGGGCAACCCTGAAACCAGGAGGCTGGGGATCGAGGCGCAGTCTCCCAGGTTATTTGAGCCATCCGCTGCTGCCTCCCACCATGCCCCTTCACAGGAAGCTAGAACTGGGAGCAGGGTCAGCACTCAAACTTAGGCACTCCAGCATCGGATTCAGTTACTTCCCACATGGCATCCTAGGTGCTTGCTTCTTTCACTGAGGTTTTTGGTTTCATGCAGGCAATGAGAAAACAATGTGTGTTAGATGTTAAATGCCAACACATTGAGGTCAAGTGTGCTGAGGTGCAGTTGAGTGGAACAGTTGGCGGAATGCACCTTTTCACCTCTCTGTGTGCATGCCCTGCCTAAGTCCAGCAGCTAAGGGCTTGAAGCTCCCAGGGCAGGCTGGTTGCCTCCGCACTGTGAATACTGGGGCAGCACCACCTGCAGACCTGGCCATGCACAGAAGTGGCCAAAGTGGAAAGGAAAGAATAACTTACCTGCTGCTGTCATGGAGGAGGGTTTTCCTTCTTCTTTTTTTTTTTTTTTCTTCTGTACTTTCTAGGCCAAAGGCAGCCTGCAGGCCAGTTGACACATTCACCGAACTGGATATCAGCTCAGAGCAGAAATGATGGGGTTTTTTTATTCCCTGCAAACCCTAAGACTGATTTGAATCTATTTTTCAGCACAATGAGGGTGCTGGGTTGGCATGGCACAGGGGACTCTGGCGCCCTGGTTTTAGTCACATCCTGTTTCAGTTCTTTGAATCTGAAAGCTCTGATGTTAGATGAAAACAAACGGTTTTCTGCTTGCCTCCTCCTCTCGCCCCATATGGCACTGTTCTCTAAAGATGCAAGAGCGATGTCAGTTTTGACCCCTAATCCAAAATGCTGTCCGAGTACCTGGCCTGGAGAAGGCAGTGGCTTTTTGTTATTGTTGTTGCTGCTGTTTGTTTTGTTTTATTTATTTTTACTGGAAAGGCAGATTTACAGAGAGAAAGACAGACAAATATTTTTCATCTGCTGGCCAGGACTGAACCTATCCAAAGCCAGGAACTTGGAGCTTCTTTCTGGTCTCGTACCTGGATACAGGGTCTCAAGACTTTGGGCCATCCTCTGCTGCTTTCCCATATCATAAGCAGGGAGCTGGTTGGGAAGTGGAACAGCCAGGACATGAACCGGTGCCCATATGGATGCCGGTGCTTGCAAACAGAGGGTAAGCTAGTTGAGCCAACACATTGGTCTCTAGAAGGCAGCGTTAAGAAAGATGTATGGAATAGTTTAAATCTAGCCTTTAATGGAGGACCACCTTCTTAAATATCCTAATAAAGGTGCATTTATTGTACGCTCTAAGTTTCCCAGATCCAGCACTTCAACTCCTGTATCTGCTCATTATACTGTAAGAAATCTAGCTCTGGTCGTTCTCCTTTGGTCATGGACTAAGTAGCAGCATCCCTGTGAAAATGGCCAGAATGTAGTACAAGAGAGAGTCTAGTGCAGGGTACTTCATGGGGCCTGTTTACATTAATTCAGCCTTTGTTAGCTATGCTTTGTTTAGGTCCCTGATTTGCACTTCCACACACTGCCCTGCACACCGCCCTGCTCTTCATTGGATCTCATGGTTGATTATATGTTGATCATGGACTTGATCTTTCTGAGCCTACATGTGTTGCTTCTTATGTGTCTCTACTCAGCTGAGGTTAGTTTTTAAAGGTTAACCTGAGGTTGGGATCAGGCATCTCAGCTGTTACACAGTTTTTTTCTTTGTGGCCACACAGAACAGAGTCTAGTCAAGATGGCCATGTGTTACATTACACTAGATAGCATGGCCACATCACACCTTCCCTATATTTAGTTGGGAATTGTTTCTGAGAAGGCTACCATTTTCTGTTAGAAAAGTTTTCCTCTATCGAATGTTAATAATGAGAGCCAGGGCATAACAGACCAAGCTGCCACCTGCAACCCTGATATCCCATGTTAAGCATTGGTTTGAATCCTGGATGCTCCGGTTGCCAACCAGTTCTCTAGTTCCCTGCTGCTGTGCCTAGAGAGCAGCAAAAGATGGTTTGAGTGCTTGGGCCCTTGCCACCTATGTGGGAGTCCTGAATGGAGCTTTTGGCTGCTGGCTTCTTCCTGGCTCAGCCTCAGTTGTTGGTAGCAGTTTAGGATGTGAACCAGATGTAAGATTTATCCCCAACCCACTTTCCCTCTCTCTCTCTCTCTGTCCCCTGTCCTCTCTCTCTCTCCTCTTTCTTTCCTCTCTTTATGTCTTCCTCCCAGACCCCACCTCATCTCTCTGCTTTTAAGTAATTAATCTTTTTAACAATAATGAGAGCTGATGTCCATTAGGTAGCCTCAGCATGCCACTTGCCTAGCACACTTTTATGTGGATTATCTAGTTTAACCGATCTGTCCCTCTTAGTGCATGAGAGAACCGAGGCTGGGAGAATTTCAGTATTGCCACGGTCCCCATTACACCGTGCCATTGGGACAAGACCTAGCACAGTGCCTTCTTGTTCATAGCGCTGGAGAATAACTCACAAGCAGCCCCTTACTAACTCATCAGAGTTGTCGTAAGAAAGCATCACAGATGGGGTGGCTTAAAGCAACACAAATTGATTTTCTTACCCATCTGAATAAGCCAGGAGCCTTATGTGAAGGTGCTCACAGGCCGTGCCCCCCGGGAGCCTCTGCGGGAGGACGCTCTTGCCTCTTCCACTTTTGGCAGATCTGTACCTTCCTTAGCATGTGTTCTAGTCACTCCAGTCTTTGCCTCTGTCCTCACAGAGCCTTCTCCTTTCCTTGCTGCTCTTCTGTGTGTATCCTACAAGCACATTTTTCAGGGAGCTTAGTGCCATTAGGGGTATTCAGCATGGTCTTTTGTCAAGATCCTTCACTTAATTAGTAAGGCAGAAATCCTAAGGGCCGCATTCACAGGGCTGGGAGCTGGACGGGACTTCCCTGAGACTGCCTCTTACGTGCTGCTACTCCGCCAGACATTAGCAAGCAAAAACTTCTCTTGTGAAAATAGCTCATTTGTTGTTTTTTAGACGTAGGAGGAGGATTGAAGTCTGTTATAAAACCTCTTTTGCCTTGTCACTAAAAGTGTCTTTTTGTTAAGAGCACCTACGTTTCATGTTGGAGTAAGTGGATTTGATGCTCTGCATTTGCTCCTGACAGTAGCTTTGTGCTAATGCAGACCCTAGGAGGCAGTGGGGATGGCTCAAGTCCTTGGGTTCCTGCCACCTTAGGTAGAGCTTTTGATTGGGTTCCTGGCTCCCGACCTTATTCCTCCAGACTTTGCAGGCATCCGTGGAGTGAACTGTCAGGCGGAAACACTCTGTTTCTTTGACTCTCAGATTAAAAATTAAAAAATGTTTACCTCCAAGAGTTGATAGGCTGTATATGTGTGTATCTAAACTAGCAATTTTGTTTTCACTTTCAAATACAGTGAAGCCAAAGGATCTTATCAAAAAATGTGAAGTGTTTAGTTTCAGAGAATCTTTATCTCTGATATTTTCACTTCTCTTGCAGTCCCTTTCCCATCCTTAAGGTTTCTCAGCATATTTTATGAGAATAAACTGATTTCAAATATTTCAAAAACCTGAGTGAGGATGGCTAGGGCGTGTGACTCCATGAAGCTGGAAAGTGAGAGTCATGTTTTTACACAATCGGAGGGGGATTACAGGTGGCCTAGAGGCTGGGAGGTGCCTCACTCCTGCAATTCCTCTTTGTCTTTGCCTTCCACTCACTTCCTTTCCCTGGTTTGTTTTTGCACTTTAGTGAATGGAGGGAGAACCAGGGCTCCTTTTCACTTCTGTTGCTGAAAGGATGCTTCATTTCCTTTCATGCTCTTCCATAACCTCTCCCTTTCTCAGGAATGTTCTTTCAGTACCAGTTCCAAAAGCCCTGAGGTCAGTGACATGGTTTTGTTCCTCTAGGTTGGGCTTGTTCATGGCTGTTCCTTTGGGTTCCAAACTTTGGCACCTTTCCCAGTGAACTTTGTGAAACACACACACACACACACACTCTTTGGGGACTATATTTGCTTCCCAAAATGCATTTGATACAAACTGCATGCCCCCAAAGCTCTGGTGTAGTCCAGGAGAAGAAAGGAACAGAAACGATTAGGCTTGGTTTTCTGAGGCAACCTTACTTCTCTCCCCAGGTGCCAGAAGGATCTCATAGTGTTTTGGTTCCATAGAAATAATCCACAGACATTAGCCAACCGCACCACACTTTCACTGCCACCTACACACATCCCAAGCATATTGACTGCAGGAGTCAGAGGGCACTCCTATTTTCTCCCCTTTACAGTTGCCACAAGATAACCAGAACTGGTATTTGCAAAGAGAGTTCGTATTCATGAAGACAGATATCTCTCACATATACCTTAAAGTAGCAGATTTCTTAATTAATGGATTGAGATCAAGATGAACACACAGTAACCCCTGAGTATAGAACCTTCCAGAACAGAGGCCCAGGTGGATTGCCTCGTGCTCACTTTCGCGCCTGTTTGCAGCAGTACCCGGGGTAGAGAAGCCCACAGCAGGGGAGTTTGCCTTGTTCTCTTTCTAGCAGGAGCCCATCCGTGTAGTTGTGTTCTGATTATGCGCTGCAAAATGAAAAAAAAAAAATTTCCATCTTGCGTTGGCAGGCCTGAAAGCCGGAGATGAGATTCTCGAGATCAATAATCATGCCGCGGGGACCCTGAACTCCTCCATGCTCAAAGGCTTCCTCTCGCAGCCTGCCCTGAGCCTCCTGCTGAGGACCTACCCAGAGCTGGAAGGAGGAGCCGAGCTGCTGGAGAACCCTCCGCACCGGGTGGACGGCCCTGCAGACCTCGGCGAGAGCCCCCTCACCTTTCTCACCAGCAACCCAGGTATGGCTGCGCCTGTGCAGGGAGCAAGTCAGGCCTCAGTTGAGCCAGGGCTGGGAAAGCCGGGGGCTTGGGTGCTTCCTCACACTGGTTGGAGGTAGAAGGTGTGTGAGTGAGATGGGTTGACATGTGAACCACTGCTTCCTGTTGAGATTTCAGGAGAGCGGGGAGTATATTGTGTGTTAGTGTTTTGTAGTGCAGTATGTGTTGGCCACATGTCTGCCTGGCACCTACAGAAGGCTTTATAGTTCTTGCGTTATTGTCTGTCATTTGGGAACAAGGTATGGGTGGAGATGTGGAGACACAGAAGTACCAGGGACCCTGGGAGAAGCTGAAACTGAGTCCCGTTCCTGCCTTCACTATCCCCACCCAACCCTGCCTGTTCTCCCTCCTGTGTGGGAGAAGGACTTTTTTGTGATTTCTCTGTCTCCTGGGCTCTTCCAACCGACAGTCTGAACGCGAGCCCACCGGCGGAACCCCCTCCCTACCCCATCTGCCACTCTTCCTCTCTCTCCCTCTGGCAGCCTCGTGCTTCTTCTATTGGAATCCACCTGCCCTTGGAAGTCCTCCTAGGACCCTGCAGAGTCACCTCCCTTGCCTGCAAATGTGTCTTTCCTCCGGGCCCGAGGCCCGGGCTCTGTTCCTGCTTGCTTCTGTCACTTTGTCTGAGTTCGTTTCCGGAGTGAAGTCCTTTATCTTCGTCTCCCTGGCTCTTTGCATGGAGTTCCCTACACAAGCGACTTCTTGTTGAGTGAGTGGGTGAGTCAGTGAGCCAACAGGCGGCTTCGATTGGTATATCTTGTTTCTCCAGGGTTCTAGGATTTGGGTCGAATAGCTGCAAGTTGGCAAATCTTTTCTGTTTCATAGTTTGAGGCTTAAAGAAAAAGCATTCGAAGTCTCTAAGTTGTTGAACTTGGGCTCTCTTGGCCTCCCATTGTTTTTCTTTCAAGTTACCTCTTTCAAGAAAACTTTTTTAAAATAGTACACATAATTGTACCTATTGGTGATGTGCCATGTGATGCTCTGACACATGGATACTGCAAAATGAAAATTGGGAATTGGGGCACATCTCTGTCTCGGACATGTGTCATCTCTTGGGGTGACATCATTCAGAGTCTTTTCTTCTAGCTTTTCTGAAATTTATAGTCTATTATTGGGGTCCAGCGTCCCCCTGCTGTGTAATAGCAGCCCTCTGACTATAACTTCATCCCCAGTAACTGGCCTTTCTCCGTCCCGTCACCCCTCTCGTATCATCCTCTCAAGCTTGTCTGGTTCAGGAAGCAGCGGCTGTACATGCAGTCCTTCATTGTTTTGTTCAGTGGCTTCCTGGAAGAAGTTAACAAGCCAAAGCTTCAGAAAATTGTTCAGACTTAGACATTTGAGTACTTTTCGTCATTATATCCTTGTGGCACTACATCCTTGTGGTACTCACATGTTTTAGAAGCTTTAGAAGATCATTTCGCATGAGTTGTGAACACTTAAATCAAAAATTGAGATCATGAATGCTGTTCTTTCATGTGACCACAAGATGGCAGGCTCAATCCCACAGGAGTCGATTCATACATAGAAGGGGTCTTTTTAATTCCATGATACAGTTCTAAGGGCTCCCAGATTTACCTTCTCCTCTCCCCAAACACCCCTCAACCCCGATTTCCCCCCTAGTATAATCCTTCGCAATTAGTCATAAATTCATTACTCTGCTTTTTAAATGTCTCCTGACGCCGCAAGCATGGACAATGCAGAGTCCAGCATCACAAGGGATATTTTAAGCATATTAGAAAAGCATCTCAGCTTTTTTTTTTCCCCACCAAACCAACTTTACATCGATTTCATGTTCTACGGACTGTTCTTTTTTCATAACGTCACTTGGAGCCGTACGATGTTAGATTACCTAAAAGTGTCTGTGAGCTTAGATCTACAAGGGATGGTAGAGACTCAATTTTATTCTAATTTTTTTTAAAAGATCTGATCTCCCTATGGGTTACAGATAGAAGAGTTAAAAAACAATAATCCCGGGAGCAAAAGAGCCCACCTCTTCCTTTTGTAAATAAAGTTCTCCTGGACTGTCTTCCCACTCGCTTGTAACTGTCTCCTCCTGCTTTCCCGTTGCTGTGAGCTGCGTGCCTGTGCTAGGCATTCGGAGTCTGCACCAGCAGGGGTGTCTACCCTGGTTCTTACAGTTAGACCTTGCCCTACTCTGACGCCAACTGTCGCTGAAATTCCCTGTGATTAGTCCTGCAGAGACAGTCACTCTTAATATTTCAGTTTGTATTTTTCCATCTGTTAAGAAAATATCAGTCTATGTATACACACATAGGAAAAAATCTTGACTTTTTGGGACTAGGTTCACACATTCACGTACGTGTGAGAATAAGCATGCTTACTTAAAATTTCAGTAAAGCTTAAAATTATAAGCATATTTGTATATTTTTGTCTGGTTTAGAAATATCAGTATTTTTCTGTTTCTGTAGTGGTAGTCGCAAAGTGAAGTGTCTTTTATTGGAAAGTCAGAGATACAGGGAGGAGAGACAGAGAGGAAGACCTTCCATCCATTGATGCACTCAGCTCCTCGACAGCCGACACTGAGCCAATCCAGAGCCAGGAGCTTCTTCTGTGTCTCCCACACGGGTGCAGTGTGCCGAGGCTTTGGGCCATCCTCGACTGCTTTCCCAGGCCACAAGCGGGGAGCTGGATGGGTAGCAGGGTTGTTGGAATATGATCTGGTGCGCATAGGGGATCCCAGTGCGTGCAAGGTGAGGACTTCAGCCATTAGGCTGCTACCCTGAGTTGCTACACTGAGCAACTGTCCTCTGATCCTCCTGGTCTTTCACTTCTGCAGCGCAGGTCCCCGTGGAGGCTGTGAACCAGATCCACTGACGCCATCCTTGTTTGAGCTTACAGCGGCAGCTTCGGAACCGGCTCTATAGGACTTACTCATTGCTTCTGTTTTCCCAACTCAGTGGCCGTAACTGGGAACTGACATTAGTTAAATATGAACTGTGTGTCGGGCATCAATGCTGAGAGCACGATGCTGACTGTGCTATCGCTGTGCCCAAAGTTACGTCACGTTGTTTGTTCGAAGGTGCTTCACCTTTTCATATTTTGCTTTGTGCTCAAAAGTCCTTCAGAGAATGCCTGATGTGGTAACCTAGCAGCTAAAGTCTTTGTCTTGCACACACCGGGATCCCATATAGGCGCCAGTTCTAATCCCGGCAGCTCCACTTCCCATCCAGCTCCCTGCTTGTGGCCTGGGAAAGCAGTACAGAGTACAGCCCAAGGCCTTGGGACCCTGCATCCACATGGGAGTCCAGGCTCCTGGCTTCAGATGGGCTCAGCTCCAGTTGTTGCAGCCACTTGGGGAGTGAGTCAGGAGATGGAAGATCTTCCCCTCTGTCTCTTCTCTCCTCTGTGTATCTGCCTTCCCAATAAATAAATAGTAAATGAATAAATAAGTCTTTTTTAAAAAAAGATACTTCAGAGGAAAATCTACTTGGTCAAACGAGGGAGTCAGAAAGATCCAGAAAAAACAAGGACAGTCAAGTCTCAGTGTTGGCTTGTAAGTTTTCTAAATTGGCTTGGAAATGCGGAAATCCAGGAGGAATTTAAAATCTTGTTGGCGCAGAACAACCCCGCTGAACAGGCTGGAGGGCAGGGACACCGAGAGCCCCCCAACCCCGTCTCCTCCCTCCCCACCTGCTGATTACTTCCACTTCCTGGCCCCCAGTTAACAGTGAAAGATAAAGAGGCAGCAAGGAAACAGGAAGAAGGCACCTCAAAGGCTCCCTAGTGGGGCAGTGGCAGACAGCTGCAGTTAGAGACCAGGGGAGAACCCCTGCACCCTGGGAAGCAACTGAAAGTAGGAGGCGTGTGGAATGGCAGATTCCAGGTTGAATTCAGGGAATCATGTTAAGGTGGTCCTGCGGGCTGTTTGGCAGCCTTGGCTGAGTCTTGTAGTGTCTCCAGGGTCCATGTGAGTAGTAGCTGCTGCCTGTTGGGCAAGGGCTGCACTCGCTCGTGTGCACAGGCGTGGCCACGTCCTCCCCTGGAAATTCCGAGGGAGATGCCTGATTTGCAGTTCAGGTTGCGTTGTTTCTGAGTCTCCTTCTCATACGTAGAGGTGTGTTCCTTCTGTGTGGAAGCATCCCGGCCGAGTGGCTGAGAGCGGACTCTGGAAGTGCGTGCCTTCGATTGAGTCCATTTTAGGGTTCATTAACTTCCGTCTCTTTGGCCCGAGCGTCCTCACCTTTGACATGGGCATTAATTGCTTGCTCCCATCCCATTACACTGCTGTGACAATTGCAGACGTCGTGAACATACTTAGAATAGACCAACCATATGCTCACTCGGTGTGTTTTATGTGAGCTGGTCTCTCAGGACGGGAGGATCTTCTGGCCTAGCTAACTGAAGATAGTTCTTTTATGGAATTTTCTCTTTCACTCTGCTACCTCCATGGGAAACATGTACATTCTCTGATAACTAGTTAGGATAAGAAAATACAGCGCGATGGCATAGTGGTTAAGGACCTCACCTTGCACGTGCCGGGATCCCATATGGTCGCCAGTTCTAATGCCGGCAGCTCCACTTCCCATCCAGCTCCCTGCCTGTGGCCTGGGAAAGCAGTGGAGGACAGCCCAAGGCTTTGGGACCCTGTACCCGTGTGGGAGACCCGGAAAAGGCTCCTGGCTTCGGATGGGCGCAGCACCGGCCATTGTGGTCGCTTGGGGAGTGAATCATTAGACACAAGATCTTCCTCTGTCTCTCCGTCTCTCCTCCTCTCTGTATATCCGCCTTTCCAATAAAAATAAAATAAATCTTAAAAAAAAAAAGAAAGAAAGAAGAAAATACAGGCAAGCGATGGTTCACAAAGCAGTGAATTCTGCGACCTGATTGCTGAGATCATTCAGCGCCCTTTCGCAACTCAATATTCACTTCTTGGAGGTGTTGGAAGGCGGTGTGGCATGTGGGTTTCAGGACCACCTGTTCTGTGTGTTCTCTCAGTCTCA